GGGATTTCAGCTTGCATACCAGAGTCTACCTATTATATGCAGGCATAGCAAACTAGTACAAGGAACACAGTTGCTATACTCAGTCCCTATCATCAACTCATTAAAGCCACCTTGTGGACCTGAAAAGAGATATGAAAAAATAAATGGCTGTCCTTCTAAATGAAGTAAAAAAAAAGGTTGAATTGCAGTGAACAGAGGAGGAAGTATAAACATAAATGTGCCAAAAGATACAGTCCCTGGTATCAATATCTGACTTCTGACAAGGCTCTTATTCATCATTCCACAAAAGCAACTCCTGACAACTAATCTTTCCTTCTCCAAATACAAAGTGCATTCTCTCTAAGGGAAAGTAAATTAAGAAGTATATTGTTTACTTTTGTTCTGTGTGATGAATTAAAAAAACTCTTTTCTTCCAAAGTTCTATTTCTCAACATTAGCTCACATAATGGCTTTGTGTGGGTGTGATTTCAATCTTTTTTCATCTTTATTGAGGTATAATGGACAAACATGTACAATATTAATAATAGATGTGATTTTAAACATATGCATTGTGAAAAGCAGCTTAAGACTTTTGATTTGGGAGAGGTGCTTCTTTTTTCTAAAAAAAGCTTACAATTTACTAAAAAACCCAGAGAAACTGGAATTTGTGAACAGCTAAAGGTGTAACTATGAAAAGTCACTGTTTTATTTATCTGACAAATGGAAGTTAGAGAAGTCTAAGAAGAAGTCTGAGTAGGAGAATATGTAGTTTATACTCATGTCTGTATTGTAACCATCTGGATTACATAGGAATAATTCAGAATTTTAAATTTAACATGCAATATTGAACCAACTATATAATACATCAACACCTTAATAAACAATTTTTCAGTGGACAGAGAGACAAGTGGTACACATAGGTGAATACACTTAAAAGACACACCAAATGAAAGCCATAAACATATATTTTATATCCTAATTGCAATCTACCTTAAGTAACTAATAAAATTGAGCATTATCATATTTTAAAAGTATTTTTGTGTACTCAGGTTATCAGGTCCATACATTTTATTTTATTTTTTTAAAGATTTTGTTTATTTTTAGAGACAGGGGAAGAGAGGGAAAAAGAGAGGAAGAGAAATATCAATGTATGGTTGCCTCTCACATGGCCCCCACCGGGGACCAGCCTGCAACCCAGGCATGTGCCCTGACTGGGAATCGAACCCATGACCCTTTGGTTCACAGCCTGTGCTCAATCCATTGAGCTACACCACCCAGGGCTAGGTTCATACATTTTAGAAATGCATTAAGAAAAGCTTACACATTGACATAACAGGAAGTTTAAGTGAAATAACCCACTATTGTGCCTGGGGCTAGAAGGAAGTATCACCATGATGATGAATATGATGGAAGGCTAAGATAGGATTCATGGGATTTCATAACAATATTTTGTTTATGGATATATTTGAAAATAGACATTACAAAGGTAGAATATGTCCCAGTATCAGTAATTTTACTTGTCAAGGAGGAAGCACTGAAAAGGGCAGAAGGTACTGGTTTAAGGGATGCAAGCATGTATGGAAACATCAAAACTCTATTGTAAAAAAAAAATTGTATGTTTTAAATCAATTACACTTATATAAAAGTCTTTTAAAATGTTTAAAACTTACCACTTCCTAATTATTTCAGTTATAATAGATGTTTTTATTGTATTTTTATACATTACCATTCACCTCCCTTATATTTACCTCCCTCCACCCCAATGTTGTTCATGTCCTTCAGTCCTTTTTCCTATTGCTCGACCACTTCACCTTCTACCTTCCCCCTATCAGTGTTAAGGTTACTTATTTCTATTATCAGTATGCTGGAAAAAATATATACTCGTGTGCTGCTAGAATAGTTTACCATCTCGATGTTCAGTGACATCATTTTGGCATTTTGGAACTTGACCATGGTGAGAGTTTTACACCAGGGAAATTGACAAAGATTACAAACCTAGACTTGACTTAATGTATCATTGAACATTTAAACTTAAAGAAAATGGTGTAGAATGTTCACAAAACACATTATACTTATGTGTGATACGTTAGGGTGGTTGGTGATGTGGGCTGTGAAAGAATTCACAAAGAAAATACAGAGAGAAAAGTTTAATTCACTTTCCCCAAGAGGAAAGGGGCCAAGTGCGGAGAATTATGCAGGTGCTGAGGTGTTGGGACTTTGAGGTTTTATTGGATTATAAAAGGGGGATCGTTTGCTATTGGGGGCATTGCAACTCAGGAAGTTTCTGCTGGTTTTGCAGAAGCTGCAGCTGGGTCCAATGTTATTTGCCTGCAGCTGTGAGGGACAGCTAGTTACCTGTTCTTACTTTTCTAGTTTTCCTATTCTGGGAACATAAGCTCATAACAGTAAAGTGGCACACATGTTTAATAAGGTCATAGGCCTGCTTGGCAAATGGCACCAGCTTTGTCCTCTAATTCCCCCTCTCGGTTTTTAAAGTTATTTTACAGCTGTACTTCAGTACTTGCCGTTATTTCACTCTGGAACTCATGATGAATGCTGAAACTGACAAGTACTCAGCAAGCAATGAATGATGAAGCATTTTCTCTTGTGGCCAGCATCATGACTCATACAAGTTCTAGCAAGTGCTATGAGTCCCTAGCAAGCACTGAGTCATTTTTTTTTTCTCTTCAAAATGCAATGAGTACAGGGTTTGGAAGTTCTGAAGTTGATGAGTACTGAGGTATGACTATATTCCTAATGATCTGAGGGGAGTATGGACAAAGGTCTTGTCTTCTTATGTCTACTTCCTACTGTTTAGGGATGTATAGTTGTCCCTACATGAGGGTCTGGGTATGGGTCATTATAGGGAAGAGATTGGAATTGGGCAGCTCAGAAAGTGAGAGCTGTGGCTGGAGGCCATTTGTGGAGGGAATCTCCCAGAGGCTGGATGCTCTATTGAATGTAGGATATGAAATATTTGAGAAGACATGGCCAAAAAGCGAGAATAAAGGCTGCTATAGGCCCTAGGCAGGTAGTTAGCCAGGAAAACCAGGACAAGGTACTGACCTAAAATCCCACCAGTCAAATCCTCCTGAGGCTCCCTCTTTGTAGAATTTGTTGGCTTTGTGAATATTTTTAAACTTGTTTTGTATTTTTCCAGATCAGTTAATGAAAACCCCCCCAGCAATCTTTGTTAAGTGTAGCACAGGTGCCTCCTTGGTTAGCCATTAGGTCTAAGGCCCACCTATTCTCTAGGACTACTCCTTCTAGGAAGGTGATTTGTTCTTGCAGGGTATTAATTTGGTTGGCTAAATCAATTATCTGTTGAGTTACTTCTAAGGAGTCACTGGGCTGTAAAAATGGAGTTCAAAAGGCCTCTGATGCCAGTCCCTACTCCGACTGCAATGCTAGTTATGGTGATTATGACTAAGTCCCCCTTTTTGACTCTTGTGGGTTGGGAGTATAAAGGGAAAGGTATATTGTCATTGATGAGGGTGAGTTTGGGAATAATTTTAACAGGAGTACAAGTGCCTGTCCAGTTAGCAGGTAAATATAGATAGACCTAATCCCTGCAGAAGTAGGTGTGATTTCTTGAGTTGAGAAAAATATTAATCATGATATTGAAGGCTTGTATAATCCTTTACTGCATGTCTCAATGTCCTCAGAGGTCGCAGCTAGAACAGTTCCTGCCAGTGGGAGAAGGCATGCAGTGTGAATTAGAAGAGAAATTGAAGACCCAGTTGAAAGGGGGAATTGTAGAGTCCCAGCCAATATTACAATTTTGGAGAGTGAATAACTTTTTATACTTACCAGTTTGTTCTTTGTTTTGTGGCTGGAACCAGAAGTTATGATTATTTGAAGGGGTACATGTTCTGGGGGCCTGGGCAAATAGAAGTGCAAAAGTAACTAGCTTGCTTCCACATGATAGTTATATTGGGGGGCTTGGGGATATAGATTTTGTAAAAAGGGGAGAGGTGGAGTAGTAGATTAGGCTAGTTGAGGAAGTAGTATCCAAAGAGGCCCATGACTGAGGAGATAGGATAGACAAATGACTGCAGTTCTTAGATATATTAGAAGAGGATCCACCTGATGGTCCTGGTGTATTCTCAGCTGTTAAGGCAGAGGAAGGCTTGGCTAAAGAGATCTACAGAGGAAGTTACTGGTCCTTGAATATTATATTGAACTTGTTGGTGTAGGTGATTGAGAGGTATGTGATTTGCTGTGAGCTTAACCCTTTTATTAATGGCCCATCTGGGTTAATTGAAATAGGTGGGGACTGGATAAGTAGGTCTCTAATTGGCTCCATTCTGAAGGAGGGATAAGAATCACTCCTAGTCCCCTCTGAGAGATGTTGGCGGAGATCCAACAATTCCTGTAGGGTTAAGTAGCCTCATTGTTTAGAAAATTAAGAGCCTCCTGCACTGTAGGTAGGTAAGGGTTTTGGAAGAGAATGTTTTCCAAGGAAGAAAAGATTAGGAGTTACATTTAAGGCTTTTCTCCAGTATAAATTTTCTGGAGCAGAATGAGGGGAGAATTGTGGCTAAAATATTTTCCACATTTAGCCCTGGATGGTGTAATGGATTGAGTACAGGCCTGTGAAGCAAGAGGTCACTGGTTCAATTCCCAGTCAGGTAACATGCCTGGATTGTGGGCCAGGTCCCCAGTAGGGGACACATGAGGGACAATCACACACTGATGTCTCTCCCTCTCTTTCTCCTTCCCTTTCCCTCTAAAAATAAAATCTTAAAAAAAGAGAAGATTCTCCAAGTTCACTATACTCACTTTCTTTTTTTTATTATAAAGTTCTTTTTATTTAAACAATTGTCAAATATTAAGACATAATACAGGAATAAGAATGGTTAACTGAAGTTATAGGGAAAACATCATCATAAAACAGCATTCAGCAGAGCAAATTTCAAGAGTAAGGATACACTATGCTTCCAAATAGACTGACTAGCACAGGCCAACATGATTTGAGTCAAAGAAGCAATTAAAAAAGAGGAGGGAGGGGCCACAGGACACAGAGTATTGAAGCCTTTTATTCTAGTGTCCCCAAAATTGTGGAAGTAAAAAGTTTCTACATTTAAAAAGTTTATATAAATTACATGAATTGCAATTTTTCATAAAAGTCAAAATGAAATGTTCTGCATAGGACAAAAGATATGCCTAAGCAACATATTGTATTTGCACAAGGCCACTGAATGTCATGGATATTGGTAACAAATGAAAAAGCTTAAGTTTACGGCAGACTGAGGAAAGATTTCAGTTTGGTATTCTATAAGCCCACAACTGTAAACTACTCTCACTTTACAAAAGCTCTAATGGCATACAGAGTTTTGTGTAGGAACTTTTGTGCTTCTGGTTGGCACATCATCTATTTTTTAATATGTGAAATTAATACAGACATTTGGGAGAGGTTGTGCAAAACTACTGTATTTACAAAAATGGCACAAAAGTGAATTCAACAGTCGATGCACATGCATACTTCATTCATATCTTTAACAACAAAAGGTATTGTAACTATATAACTGAATGAGAACATTAGCTTCAATGGCAGCTGTTAAGCACTAGGGTCACATAAGTTACACCAGAATGGGCAAATATTGCCCAAGTAAACTTCTATTGTTAAAGCTGAATCAGGTTTAAGGCCATTCAAGTTCAAGCACAGAAATACAAATCTTTTGGAGCCCCATCTATTGGTGTTTGAAATATGTGACCTTTCTTCCAACTTGTGGTCTTAAACTTCTGTTTTATAAAATCCAAAAGGAAGATACAGAAGAAATCAATACAGTAAAGGTTAATTAAATAAGAGTAACACACAAAGCTAATTAGGATGAATTAAAGAAAGCCAAAACATTAAAATTGTAAAACTTGCTTGGTAGTTTGTTATGACCAGTCCTACACTAGGAGTTAGGTAATATATACAATTATTTTCAAGTAGATTACTTCATGTTGCTCTAACATGTTCTCTCCATCAGTGCACTGTTAAGCTAATCAAAACCTCTACACATGTATCTTCCCTTACAATAGCAGCACACACTACCACTACCTGCAAAGCTGTCACTCTCAAATGACTTAGTGAATAAAAAGAAATAAGCAGGGAAGTAACATATTAAGGAAAAACAATGGGAATTAGAAGATGCATGCAGTTCAGCTCTTTTAATCAGCCAGCCAGCTTGCTAGCAACAAGGATGGCTTCCGTTGAGGAAGGTCCTGTGGAGTGGGAATGTGATCACCAGTGACCTCTGTCTTATCCGGAGCTGCAGTAGGAAGTTGCTTGTTCTTCATTTTTGCTTTAGCCATGTTGTGATCCCTAGAATCAAAATATTTTTGCCCTTTCTGTAATCGTTTCCTTAAGAAATCTGAACCTCCAGGCTTTTGTCCCAGATGAGGATACCTTGCTTTTAATTTTGCTTCTTCGGCTTTCTCTGGATTAGTCACTTTATCTTCCATTTCCTTCTGTTCCTCCGCGGAGGCTGCCTCGGGGACCTCCGCGGGCATACTGCTCCCTCTGCGGACAAGACACCGGGAAAAGATGCAATTACCAGGTGGCCCAGGCTGCCCGGCCTCTGTGCCGCCTCAGGCCCTCCCGCCCTACCTCCCCAACCTAGCGCCAGGGCTGCTTCTGCCCGCGGAAATGGCACTATACTCACTTTCTTTCCCCACAGTAAACTGGTATGAAATGAGGCTAGAGAAATGGCTAAATAATTCCACATATTTGCAACACTCATAATGTTTTTCTCTAGAATGAATTGGACAGTGCTGAATAACACTGGAGAGTTTCATGAAGAATTTCCCACAGTAACTATACTGATAAGACATTTCTATTTCTTTTAAGATTGTATTTATTTATTTATTTATTTTTAGACATAAAGGAAGGGAGGGAGAAAGAGAGGGAGAGAAGCATCAGTGTGTGGTTGCCTCTTGTGTGCACACTAGGGACCCAGCCCACAACTGAGGCATGTGTCCTGACTGGGAATCGAACCAGTGACCCTTCAGTTTGCAGGCCGGCACTCAATCCACTGACCCACACCAGCCAGGGCTGATAGAAACATTTCTTAAGTGTGAACTTTACATCAGATTAAGTGAAATATTTGCATAACCCTGGCTGCCTTGGTTAAAGCATTGTCCTGATACCCCAGGGTTAAGGATTTGATCCTTGGTTATGCCACACATAATAACCAACTAATGAATATATAATTAAGTGGAACATCAAATCAATATTCCTGCCTCTTCTCCTTCTCTCTATTCTCCCTTTATCTAGAATGAAATTAAAAAAAAAAAACTTGTCTACATGTTTTTCCACATTTGTTTCACTCATAAGGTTTTGCTCTACTATGAAGTACGATGTGTCAGGGAAAGACTAGAGCTTTGTCTAGCTTCCCTCATTTATGCACTCATAAGGTTGTTCCCCAGTATAACCTTTGCAGTGACCAATGAGCTTACTGCTTTGTCCCACTTCCCACATCACTACACTACAAAAGGCTTTTCTCCAGTGTAAAGTCTCCAGTGGTCAATGAGAGTAGATCTTTGTTTGAAGGACTGCTACAATCACACTTAAAGGGCTTCTTCTCCCGTGTGAATTCTCTGGTGTTGCAGGAGGCTAAAGCTTCAGCTGAAGGACTTCCCACAATCACAACATTCATGCAGCTTTTCTCCACTGTGAACACTCTCATGTCTAAAAAGGGAAGATTTGTAGCTAAAATATTTCCCACAAACACTACACTTATGTGGCTTTTCTCCAGTGTGAACTCTCTGGTGACGAAGGAGGCCAGTCCTTTGGCTGAAAGACTTCCCACAATCACTACACACATATGGCTTTTCTCCAGAGTGAACTCTGTCATGTGTTAGGAGATGATATTTGCGACTAAAAGATTTCCCACATACACTACACTCATAAGGCCTTTCACCAGTGTGAGCTCTACGGTGCTCAATGATCTTACCGCTTTGTCTAAAAGACTTCCCACAATCACTATACTCAAAAGGCTTTTCACCAGTGTGAATTCTCTGATGTTTGATGAGAAAAAAGGAAAGGCGAAAAGACTTCCCACATTCACTACACTCATAAGGTTTTTCACCAGTGTGAATTCTCTGATGCTGAACAAGGACAAATTTGGGGCGAAGGCATTTCCCACAAACAGTGGACTCATATTGCTTTTCTCTATTGTGAATTCTCCAGTGTTGAGTGAGGCTAGAGCTTTGGCTGAAGGACTTTTCACAATCACTACAATCTTGCAACTTTTCTCCACTATGAACTCCCCAATGTGGAATGAGTTTCAAAGTTTGTCTGAAGGCCTTCCCACTTTTGCTATTCTCATAAAGCTCTTTTCCAGAACAGATACTCTCACATTGAACAAGTTTCTGCCTGTGACTGGCAGCTTCTTCATATTCAACTGATGGATGATGAGTTTTTCTCCCATGAAAGGCCTGCCCACTCTCACTGCCACTGTGTGGCTCTTCAGTGTTAGGAATGGCTGGATGGGGGAAAAAGCTTGAGATGGCTGGGAAGGCTTTCCCAATATCCCTACTGATGAAAAGTGGCCCTGATACGTAAAAGCCACACCTAGTCACAAAGGAGGCCTTGTTCTTATGTCCTTTCCAGGGCTTCTCTCCACTGGCAGGTCTTTGTTGCTGGTATAGGTTTCCACGGAAACAGAAGTCTCTCATACACACATCACTGAAGAATGCTTTCTGCTCAAGGTATGCTGTTTGCAGCTCAGTTAGATGCAAAATATCTTTCAAGACTGAGACACACTGCTCACAAGGATGGGTCTTCTGAGTTGTTGGAGCTTTCTTAGAAGCCTCCACCTGTGACTCTCCTACAGATACACTCTGCTCACAAGGGGCCTCCTCATACTCCATTTTATGCCTACAACCTGAAAGCAGAAAAATGCTGAGAAAATTGATGTGGCCTTTGGTAGGAGGGGCAAAACATATAATAAAGGTGTGTTAGACACAATACGATAGTTTCATGAGATTGTCTAAAACTAAGAGAACTTAGGGCATATTTAAGGAAATGCTGCTTTGCAATGCTGGGCCTCTAAAGATCACAAAGAGACCTCACCAGAAAAAGGACAAACATGGCATGCACCACATGGAAAAGAAGCAGATCTCCAATTGATGTTCCGCTAACAGTGTTCATCAGGGCTTGTCTACCAGTGACCTGGGCAAAATGTGCTGAAGATTGATTATGTCCTGTTCCTAATAAAATTCAGTAAATAAGTAGCTGGTATCTGAAGACTATTTAAGGTGTATGAGCAACTTATAATACCTGCACAGGTCAATGCTGGAGAATATTGCAGAGGGAGCCTTGCAAGGGAATGGGTGATACATAGAGGCCACAAACTTATAGGTAGCCAGGAGCCAGGAAGTCACAGATGAAATAACAAGTCAGCAAAGTGTAGGATGGGAAAGCACAGGTAGAAATGAGGTGTGGCCATTGGCACTTGCATCAAAACAATACTGGACACAGGACAGGTTTTTGGTATGGTATGTCTTGACCTCCACCAGTTGGCACTCATCAGAGCCAGGCCTCCTCTGAGACCATCCTGCAAGTGAAAGAACTAGTGTTCTCCTTATACCCTCTTGTATGTACTAGACTCAGAACATGAACAATTTGAGTATTAATGAAAAACAACAGATGTGATCAGGTAGCACTGGCCCAGTGCAACTTGACATGTACTAATATTCATGGAAAGTAGTATTACAAAAAATATATACCTCAAGGGCAGTTTTATAAGAACAGCCGATGGTTAATGTAAGTAATGACCAAGACGTCTAGTCTGCCTGTGTCTACAGGCAGTCACAAAGGAATATTAGCTAAGGAAAGTAGGGCAGAACTGGAGGCCGTGGATCTAAACACAGTCAACCTGCCAAGGACAGGGTAAACAAGGTAGAATATATTAGCTGTTTGGAAGACTCCTGCTCCCAGATACTTCTCTGCACTTTCTTTTTTTTTTTTTTAAGATTTTATTTATTTATTTATTTTTTTTTTTGAGAGAGAGAAGGGGAGGGAGGGAAAAAGAGAGGGGGAGAAATGTCAATGTGTGGTTGTCTCTCATGCACCCGCCCCACTGGCCCATAACCCAGGCATGTGCCCTGACTGGGAATTGAACCAGTGACCCTTTGGTTTGCAGGCTAGTGCTCAATCCACTGAGTCACACAAGCCAGGGCTTCCCTGCACTTTCTTAGGCAACAGGTGTTAGAACTCCTTGGGAAGTTCATGGCTCAGAACACTCCAAACAGCTTAGCATTGGAAGTCACAACACAGATGACAAGAAAGTGGGGAAAATCAGCAGAGCCTAAGGGTCAGGCTGTGGGAAACACAAAACTACCTCTGGAGAAAATAGGGAAGGAAGGTCAACACCTGAGAACACAATGAGAGATGTAAAGGTCTTACCCATAGATGCTACAAGGGCAAAGACTTGCAGCATTACTTCACAGTACAGAAGTCTCTGAGCCTCAACAAGGAGCCTCCACTCCTCTTGGGAGAAGGCAATGGCCACATCTGCCAAGTTCATATCCTGTCAGAATGGGGAGAGTTCATTCCATGATCAGCTTCTCTCCTCGGATTCCAATGTCCTACCCACGACACTCCACATCTACTTGCTCACTCGACTTCCCATATCAGGGAGGATACCAGGTTTTGGTGCCAACCATATCACTCTCTCCTTATATTCCCTCTGATACTGTGTCTTCCCACAACAGTAGAAAGATGGCTGGATAGATGATACCTGAGCTCTGGGTCAGGCACGTTGGTCACAATGCATCTTGTTAATACAGTGGATATCGCAAATGTAGGTTAGGGAGAGAAGTTGGCCATAAATATTGTGGAGTGATTTGACACTGGTCTTGTCAGGCAGCACCCCTTTGGTCTCCTGGTTGTCCTTCCAAGTCACAAAAAATATGGCCACGCTTCAACCTATGACTCCAATGCTGGACCCTGAGGCCATCAGTTTACTAACCTCAGCACATAATTTTTTGAACCACACCTTCTCTCACACAGCTACATCCCAATGGGCACAACTTCAAAGGTAGCAATGCCCTGCCATGATGAGGACAATGTGTCCCCAATCAGCCTCTTCCCCAGGATTCTAATTTCAACACTTCCTTATCCATTTTCTGTTTACCCTTCTCCCACTCCTATCCCAGTAGATGTTTTCCATCAGTCACTACCTCATCAAGGTCCTACTAATTACTATATCGGCCCTCAACAACAATAGGCACGTGGACAGACAAATGGAGTCTAATCTCTGGACTGGGCATGTAGAATCACAACACCCCTTTTTTCAGCAAATTCTTCTAAGGTTTCCCATATCAGTTCTTCCAGTGACCACCAGATATGGGCTCATCCTTCATTCGTTCTCATGTCAAGGACAGGGCCCTGGGGCCATAAATTCACACTCTGCTTCCAAAGTGCACCTCTGTCTTCCTACCATACTTCTCTCTCACAGTGCACATCCTCAGCCCCAGCCTCCTCCTGTCCATGTCACAGTTATTGCCTTGGCCTCTCTACTCATTACTCAGCATATATAGTCCAGAGAAAACACAGTAAATCCAAATTTACTGTGTTAGTAAATCCAAGGATCAAGTACTACCCAGACTCTGATGGTCCCCACTGACAGTGGCTAGCTACCTTGATTCCTGCTGTGAAAGCCAGCCTCCCTGAGGGTTCCTTGCTTCAACTTAACCTACCGAGAACCACATCAGATCTCAGATATGCATAACCCTCCTCCACGGGTGCTGCACCTGATGTCCTGGTACCACTCTCAGCCTTCCTCTCTCCACCTCACTCTCACTGCACGGTGAGCCCCATTTGTCCAGTACCCCATGCCCCATGAGTCTCACAGATGAACACATGCCCCTACACTTCATCTGTCAGCCTGATTGGGACACCCCAGGCCACATCAAGGGTCACAACAAAGTCCTGGTAAGTCTTTAGAGCAGTGAATTCCCAGCCCCAGTCTCCTGTGTGAAATACTCTCAGGCTTACAATCCATCTCACATCCATTCATCCCTTGTAGGTGATGGCCACCTGTCAAATCATACTCTCTCCTCATCTCTCTACATGGCTATTTCCATCCATACCCTGTGTTGTGACACCCACATCCCACAACTAGAAGCCCCAATAAGAAACCCAGTCATCAGGCCCACCCTGTTCTTACTAAGCTACTGCTACCATTATCTTCCTGACCAGCATTCCCCATACCAAAGTGAACTACAGCTCCTCCCTGACCCATATACCCTCCACTAACCTCTGGAGAAGTCTCCATCCTGAACTTCTCACAGTTCCAGACACCCATGAACTGCTCTCTAAAACATCTCATAACCTGTTAACAGGCCAAAAATAAACTTCTGATATCCCCAGCTATGGTTTTCCTTTTCTCATATGATAATGCTTCCATAACTCCCACAGCTAAAACCAAACCATGAAGTCATTCCTGACTCCTACCTCTCTCTCAACCTCAAAGTTAGAAAACTTTGGCGACCACACCAAATCATCCACCCAGATTCCAACTGATTCTCTCACCTCCATGGCCACCTTTCTAGTTCTTCACACTCACCTAGATTATAGGAGCAGCCTCCTGCCTGGTCCTCCTATCACCTCCCTCACACCCACACTCTTCTCCATGCTGCAGCTTTAGGGAACCCAATGAGACCTGGGTCAGATCACCTGTCTCCACTGCTGCACATCTCCCATTGCTCCCATCACTTGCAGAATACACAGCCAACTTGTCACAAAGCTCCTCTAGACCTGACTCCTGCCCCATTGGTCCCAATTCCCATAAGAAAGGATATCTACAGGTTTCTGAACCAGCTCAGTCTCTCCTCCAAGCCTTTGCAAATTTTGGTACCCAGTCCTGGGAGGAGGTCCTCTCACATCTCATTTCACTGACTGCCAAAAATAGCGATCATTTCACATAAGTCAAAACCTGGACCGAGAACCCTGGGCTTGGCATCTGTTCGAGGTCCCTAGTCCCAAGGGTGGAAAGAATGGCACACAGTCCAGGACACCTCTATCTCAGAGACCATAAGAGTAAGAAACCCTGAAATAAACTCCACAAACCAGTACCCTGAGGGATTCTGCAGTCGCAGGAATTTGTGGAAAGAGAAAGGTCTGTTGAGAACCTCGCCACCACCGCTAGGACCCACGGGCTCAGGACTCTAAGTGCCCTGGCCCGGCCTGGAGTCAGGTGCCCTCGCACTGACGGCACTACCTCAGGGCCTCTATGCTCAGTGCAGACTCTGCCAGTCACGCCACTTTTTACAGGATTCATCTTCCCGTCCTCAACTGTTATCACCTCTTCTGTCCTGGTCTCTCCTTTCTCTGAGCTGGGTTTGGAAAACGTTCCAACCCGATCTCAGCCAATGTCCCTCTTCTGTTCAACCTTCCACAGCCACCGCGTCCCATGATGAAAGTAAAACGCCTCACTTATAACTTTACATCATGTACTGCGTCATGTTTAGACACAAAACGGGGCACAGGTTCCCTAGAATCTTAACTTCGGAGACGCCTCTGAGCGTCTTACAGGGCGTACACTCAACTCGTCACCCTCTCCCACACGGTCACACCGTGTGTCACCCACGAGCGCCGCCCGGTCCTGAACGCCGACGCTGGGCTGCAGGACCTGGCGGGCGCAGCGCACCCGGGTTGCAGGGCTCGGCGAGGTTATAGGGGGAAGGGACTGAGGGGTGGGGAGTGCTCTCACCTTAGCCGGGCGCCTCAGCGGAGCCGCGGCCAACGCACTTGGAGAGTGGAGCGAACGCTACGAGGCTCAGAGGCCCCAGTCAGGCCACCAGTGAGCGTGGAACCTGGCTCCGCACAATAGGGACTACTCGCGCGGCGCCTGCTCCGTGCAGGCGCAGCTTTCTGGAACCTGACTGGGAGAACTGGCGAGAGAGGTCAAAATGACCGCCACTGAAGGATGTTCCGCCCTAATCGGATAGTGTGAACCAATGGGCGGCCTTCTCGGCTCTAGAGGGCTGAAGCTTGCCAGTGCTGTGCGAATTGCCCTCTGGGTAATGTAGTTTTCTCAGCCACAGAGGCAGCATTAGCTGCCTATCACTGAACCTAAGGGGTAATGGCGTTGTGACACAGGGAGTAACACCGGGGAATGAGGACTTTAGATTTCAGGTTTCTAGGGAGTGTTTTCTCCAACTGATTACTTGCTTAGAGACGTTATTTCAGACTCTGTGAAGCGCAGAATTCTATGAGACAATAAAGTATTATTTCAAATCTAAACTGACATACATTCTCACTGAGAATCAAAATGCATCCTCTCTTGCATGGAAAGTGTTAAATATTTCCTGCCATTCAAATGCATGGAGTCAAAAGCTGATTTGGATTCCGACCAAGGGTGTCTGTCTGTAGTCTTGTGGATGCAACAAACAAATTCACACGAACTGCAGAAGTCCTGTGGAGAAAAGGGAGAGCATTGAGAGGCCCTCAACCCTTGCCTGGAGAGGCTTAACTGCTTTTCTGGGAGCATTACATCAACAAAGGTCCTCATTCCTTTTGCACAGGTTTGCTTAGGTGATTATCTTTTACAGATAAAGGAAGGAATGTTGCTGACTACTTCTTAGGGATAACAAAGAGAAGAATGTTGCAAATGCAAGGAAAAAAGTGGTTGAACTGGTTACACTCTGTCCTTGGGGGGTTTAGCACAGACTTCCAGAAGTTACTTCAAAGATATGCATTAAACATTTGCTGCCTTAATTCAGGGTGAAGGAGTTTTAGCAAAAGCAAGCCTCAAAGCAGCCTAGGTATAATGCAGGCCTGGTTCCCCATGGGAAAGCTGACCTGTGGACCTGGCTCCTGTGTGCTGCCTCATGCCTGTCAGTTTTCCCAACCTGAGCTGAGCTACATTGGTCACTTCCATGCAGACAGGTTCCCTATAAAAAGCATCAATGGATTTTGTAACTATCTGCACATTCATTCTGAACCATGACTAAGAGGATTTAAGCTGCCCTCAAGTGGGAAGACAAGGAGTTATCTTTGCCTCTGGTTCCCAGAGAACATTTCTCCTGCATATAACCTCAGTAACCAGTGTCCACTCTATAGAATATTGTTTACCCATTTAGTATTTCCGATTCAATATTCTAATTCTATTAGAATTAATCTAATAGAAAGTCTGTGGTGGGGGGAATTAGATTATTTCTATTAGAAATAATAGATTATTTCTATTAGATTATTTCTATTAGAAATAATCTAATTCTATTAGAATATTTACCTAATTCTATTCAATATTCTATTTCTTATTCTATATAGTCAGTTCCTTTAGGAATCTGACAGTTCCCAAGTGGAGAGGAACTTACAAATTTTTTCTGGGTATGAGATAGTGACTACAATGTTGTCAGGCAGAGCACATGTGTAGGAGAGTGCAGGCAGAGGGGGCCCCAAATAGAGATTTGGAATGGGGTCCAGAACTCAAAGTGTCCAGGTGATTTTAAGATGTCCTCACCCCCAACTCCCAGGTGTGGGTTGGGGGAAGGGACAAATAAAGCAGGGCCATTGAGAGCTGTTTCCCATAGCAACAGCCTTGCAGCTACCCTCTGGCATGGTCATTTAACATATCTATAACCTTTAATTGGTTGCATAGATATGTTAAATAGCTGTGACCATCTCTGAGCCAGGGGAATGGAAATAACTTCCCCACTAAGATGTAACTGGGGGGCAGGTCCCCCGAGTTATAGCGCCTGCGTGGGAGCTCAGAGACGATTGGCTCCATAACATGGGGCCACGCCTGCCCAGACTCGTGATGGCAGCCCAGTAAAGCTGGAAAGATATGAGTTCTGGCGTGTGAGGCCGAGTGTGGGAGGAGTCAGAAATGGGGCTGCAGAGGAAGATTGGCTTGGGGATTTAAACCCAGACGTGGCAGCCATTGGAGGGAGAACCATGCAGCTGTGGCATTGCAGGGAGGACTGCAGCCACTGAGGAGAGAACCATGCGGCTTTAGTAGAGTGGGGACTCCCGCAGCAGCGGACACCATCCAAGATGCAGCCTCCTGAGCCTCCTCTACTGCCTGGCTCCGAGCCCCAGCCGGCTCTGCAGCAGCAGCCTTGAGAAGGGGCCACCAGTAAGTGACTTGGGAGCACCGGGTCACCACCCTGCCTCCGCAGCCACTGCCACCGCCAGGTCTCCGAGCACTGCGCCCTAGCTCTCACTGCTCAGGCTCAGCCAACCTCGCAGCCACCTACTCTGGCCAGGACATGATGAGCTCCACGCTAGCCCTCTTGGTGCTGCTGCTGCCACCGCTGCCATCGCTCTCCCAGAAAGGGGGATCCCCCCTCCCCCCACCGCAGCCATAAGAAGAATCACCACACGCTTTAGCTGGAGATCCTGGCAACACAACCAATGGTGCTGGGAACTAAGGAAAGCCTGCCAGCTGAGCACAAATTACTAGGAAAAACCGAGAGCTGCCTAAGCCACAGACTTCTATTTCTTTTCCTGAAATACAGTACCCCAGACTGGGCAAAGGGGGAAAGGAAGGACTGTGTGTGTTTGTGGGTGTTTCAGGGGACTTTGGGATTTTGGCGAGGTCATTGGGTCATTACTTTTAGTCTGTATAGCTTGAATAAATAGCTCTTTTCTTTTTAACCAATCTCTAGCATGGAGAGCTATAATTCTCTGGCTTAGGGAAAGGTGAACCTAGTACAGGGGGACCCCAGGAGAAATGGGGATTAATTTGGTAGCATTGTGGGACCCTCTTCCCTGGTGGCCAATCGGGGAGGATCATGGGAAACCACATACGCAGTAGCTTTAAAGTAATGCAACTATTTGTACATGTGCAGTCAAGTCCAACAAAACTAGCCAGAAGGGATCTGCCCTATAAAAATAAAGTCCCTCCAGCCCATGAGGTCAATCTCTGCTTGGAGTTGACCTGCTCCCATGTTCTCTTCTATGAACTCTGGGTGTCTGGTTCAATTCTTTGTCCCGATCACTAAGAACCTGGTTACCCGTGCCCACCTGTGACACATGTGCAAAAAGGGCACCTGAAAACCATCATCTCATTTTGCAGGGAAGGGACTACTCTTTCTCTGGTGATTGCTGGGACTTTTGTTCATGAGTATTGAGAGATCAGAAAAAAAGTTGTGAAGTGCTATTCACAGAGAGCTATTAATAATAATTGTGTATTTATTCAAAAACAATGTTAGAAAAGCTCTGAGGAAACACCAGTGGAATGAGGAACAAGACAAGACCGCAGTTAATTTTTTAAAATATATATATTTTATTTATTTTTAGACAGAGGGGGAGAGAGGAAGAGTGGGAGAGAAACATTAATGTGTGGTTGCCTTTTGTGTGCCCCCAACTGGAGACCTGGCTCACAACATAGGCATGTGTCCTGACTGGGAATCGAACTTGCTCTTCTTTGGTTCGCAGGCTGGCACTGAATCCACTGAGCCACACCAGCCAGGGCAAGACTGCAGATAATTTTTATCAAGAAACACTGAAATCTGAGTCAGGCTGAGCCCAATCTTTGTATTGTGATTTTTTAAAAATAATTTATTTTTAGAGAGGGGAAAAAAAGGAGAGAGGGAGAGAAACATCAGTGTATGGTTTCCTCTCATGCATCCCACACTGGGGACCCGGCCGGCAACCTAGGCATATGCCCTGACTGGGAATAGAACTGGCAACCCTTTAATTTGCAGGCTGGCACTCAACCACTGAGCCACACCATCCAGGGCTGTGATTTCTTTATGAGATCAAGCCTAGTTAATTTGTTATGCTTTCTCATTGAAGTTTTAACTTACCATTTCATCATAACTAATGTTAAATGATACTTCTAAGCCTAGTAATCATGTATTATTATATAAAGATTCTGTTCAAAGATCGTCTATCTTATATTTTCTTCGTATTGATTTGTGTAACTTCTATTCATGCAAGTCCTTGATTCAGATATTTACAACTTTTACTAAAATTTTCTGTTACTATTTTTAGTTATTTTTAGGAGACATACAGAGTGTGACAGAAGTAATGCTGGCTTCAGTGTGGCTTTATTATTTATTATCATCAAAGACAGCAATTTAAACATTACACCTAAAATGCCATATGGTGTGCTTAAGTATGATATTGTTATGTTATAGCATTACATACTAATGATTTTGTAATAAAAGAATTTGTAATAAAAAATGTGTTATTTGTGCCAGACAATATTTCATATATATATATATATATACACACACACACTTATAATGTAAACCCAGTGTTTTTAAAGTTGTCGTAACTATAATTAGCAACTCTTCAATTGGAAAACATTGACATTTACAAGTTTATTATACAATAAAAAATAAAGAATATAGATACATAGAAAAGGGTGAGGTCTGGGAGGGTCCCAATCTCAGGTGTATCGGTCAGTGAACCACAATCCTGGCCAACTGATGTGTTCATAAAGTTCATTAAACTCTGCACTTAAAACAGCATAATTGATTATTACCTCAATCTGTAGGTCCTCTCTTCTTCTTCAAAGATGAGAGTAGGGCTAAAAGTTACAAACTTTTGATCATAGTTTAGTCTTTCTGGTGACCAGCACCTATCCAGAAGCCATCAAGGAATCTACACCGAGTCACATGACTTTCAAAACAAAAGACACTCCTATCACCCAGGAAATTCCAAAGGATCTGGAAACTCTGTATCATCAACCAGATAAACAGCAACAATTACAACAAAAGATGTTCTTAGTGCTCTTATCACTTAGGAAAATACAAGGGTTTCCAGAGCTCTGTCTCAGGAACTGTGGCAGATATACATAGATATATATATTATATTATCTATGCTATAACAATGATAACATAAAGGATGTTATATTATAGATAATGTAATACATATCTATATATCATAATTATAACAATTATATTACAATAATAATAATTACATTATAATTATTTCACAATCTGGCTTACAGAGGTCTTTGGGAAAAAATTTCCCTTGACCAGGAATTATGCACAAGAACATTTATTAGATCACCTTCTTACATCATACACAAAAATCAACTCAAAATGGGTTAAAGACTTAAATATTAGAATCAAAACCATTGTTAAAGCATAGAAGAAAACATAGGCAGTAAGATCTCAAATATTTCTCATAGATATATTTTATCTGATATATCTTTCTGGGCAAGAAAAACAGGAAAAATAAAAAAATAGAACTACATCAAACTAAAGAGATTTGGCATAAGAAAAAACCAATCAACAAAATGAAAAGACAACTGGTTGAAGAGCAGAACACATATGTCAGTGATACATATGATAAATGGGTTAATATCCAAAATTTAAAGAACTTGTAAAACTCAACACTAAAGGAAAAAAAAGCATCCAATTGAAAAATAAGCAAAGGACCTTAATAGATACCTCTAAGGAGGACATACAGATTGCCAGTAGACATACGAAAATGTGCCTGGCATCACTAATCAGGGAAATACAAATTAAAACCGCAATGAGATAGCACCTCACACCTGTCAGAACTGCTATCATCAATACATCAACAAAGAGCATGTGCAGCCAAGGATTTGGAGAAAAGGGAACTCTTATGCCTTGTGGTGAAATACAAATTGGTGCAGTCACTATGGAAAACAGTGTGGAGTTACCTCAAAAAATTAACAACGAAACTGCCTTATGACCCAGAGATTCCGTTTTTGGGAACACATCAGAAGAAACCTTAAACACTAATTTACACATTCTAAAGAATGTCTGGATCCCTATGTTCACTGCAGCATAATTTACAATAGCCGGGATTTTAAAGTAACCCAAGTGCCCATTGGTAAATGGGTGTCAGTTTGAGGTAATTGGGGAGGTTTGGGTCAGAAAAAAAGTTATATGTCCTGGCTGGTGTGGCTCAGTGGATTGAGTGCCAGCCTGTGAACCAAAGGGTCACCAGTTAAATTTCCAGTCTCAGGCACAGGTTTGTGTTTTGGGCCAGATCCCCCGAAGTGGGCAGGTGGGAGTCAAGCACACATTGATGTTTCTTTCCCCTCTCTAAAAAATAAATTTGAAAAGATAAGAATGAGGATCCTGCTGTGGCTAGTGTGGCTCAGTGGATTGAGTGCTGACCTGCAAAGAAACCTAAGCACTAAGCACTAAGAAACCTAGCACACTGCATGTTCTGGTGAAAGAGATATAAAATCATGTAAATGGCTCTAAAGGAGGCTTTTCCAGTATTGTCATATAGAGAAACAAAATGCGCTCAGTACATTTAAGACTTTTCTCCAGAGTCAAATCTCTGGTGTCTAGGATGACATTTGCAAGTAAAAGATTGCTCACATTATACTCATTAAGGTCTAGTTCCAGGGTGAACTCTCTGATGAGGAATGAAGTCAGATTTATGGGTAAAGATTTTCCCACATTCACTACACTGATAAAATATTTCACTGTTGGGAACTGCCCTATCTGATATCAGAAGCTGTAACCCCCGCCAAGGCTAAGGCTGAGGGAGTGGCCTTGGACCATAAGCCAGCAAGGAGACAAAATCTTATCTCCCTGGCAGGAGCGCTGCTTCATTCATAACTGAACCCCAATGCTTGGTTCGTTAGCCAATGACGGGTACAATTCCCCAAGGGGGGAACATCCTAAGACAGGCACGATCACGTGGGAGGCCCCCACAAAAGGACTTTGGGGGCTATAGCAAAAGGGGGTGATGGACCCTCACTCCTCAGCTGTGATATAGCCTGAGTCCTCATTGTCTGGGAGAAAATCTCCGTATCCCTTGGCTGCCTTACTTCCTTGCTCCACCTAGCCTGAAACAATGACAGGGTGGTGCAGCTCTGTGCTAAAAAGGGCGGGTTCCCAGGGTGATCAGGCCTAAGAAAGAATATGTAAGATCCTGTGAAACCTGCTTTGTTTAGAATGCTCTCAGTTGAATGAGAAGGGTGGAAGGAAGAAGTAAGTTTGTTCTTTAAAGTTTTACAGGTCTTTGATCCTGACTCAAAATAGGCCCTCAGACTTCCTTGCTATCTATTGTTGGATCCTTACTTCCTAGCAATGAGTAATGAGCTTTTACCTGAATTCTTATTCAAACGAAACCAATAAAAGCCTCTCCAGAGGGGGAACGAGGTGCTCTCCCCACCAGAGAGAGGGTGGCCAAGCGGCGCCCTCCAGGAGAGAGGGTGGCCAAGGCACTCCCCACAGGAGGAGTGGCCCTTCTGTTCCTATTTCCCCACAGGATCTGGTTGTCTCTGTGTATGTTTTTAGCATGTTTCAACGAGCATCCGCAGCCGAGATGGATACTGCTGGCCAGTATCCTCCACATTTCACCATTGTGAACCCTCTGGTGTTGAATGAGGATAGACCTTTGTCTAAAGAACTTACCACAGCCACTACATTCATATGGCTTTTCTCAAGTATGAATTCTCTATAGTGTTCAATAAGTACACATCTGTAGCCAAAGCATTTCCCATAATAACTACACTCATAAGGCTTCTCTCCAGTGAAAACTTTCTGGAGTAGAAGGAGTAGAGAATTACAGCTAAAAGATTCCTTACATTTACTACACCCGTATGTCTTTTCCCAGTGTGAACACTCTGGTCTTGAATGAGGCTAGAGAAATTCCTAAAAGATTTCCAAAATTCACCATGCTCATTATGCTTTTCTCTAGAATAAGTCAGATGGGGCTGAATAACACTGGAGAGTTGCCTAAAGAATTTCCCACACCTGGCTGGCGAAGCTCAGTGGATTGAGCGCGGACTGTGAACCAAAGTGTCGCAGGTTCAATTCCCAGTCAGGGTACATGCCTGGGTTGCAGGCCATGGCCCCCAGCAACCGCACATTGATGTTTCTCTCTCCCTCTCTCTATCTCCCTCCCTTCCCTCTCTAAAAATAAATAAATAAAATCTTAAAAAAAAAAGAAAAGAAAAAGAATTTCCCACAATCATCCTGACTGGCACAGCTCAGTTGGTTCAACTTTGTCCTCAAGAGTGGTTTGATCACTTGTCAGGACATATGCCTATCGTTCAGGCCCAGTCCCCAGTTGGTGAGCATGCCACAGGCAACCAACTGATGTTTATTTACTCTTTTCCTCCCGTGCCTTCTCTCTATAAAAAAGAACACTACCAATTATAATCTTTCAAAAATACCATTAAAAAAATTTCCCACAATCACTGCACTGAGAAAGCATTTCTTGAGTGTGAAACGTTTTAGATCATATGAAGTTAAAAATTTTCTAGCCATGGCTAGGTTAAAGCATCATCCCAACACCTGAATGTGGCAGGATTGATCCCTGGTCAGGGCAAATATAATAATCAACTAGTGAATGAATAGTTAAGTGAACAACAAATCAATATTTTTCTCTCTTTCCTAAGTGTCTATTTAAAATAAAAAAAAATATGTCCAAAGTTGTTCTCATATTCACTTCATTCATAAGGCTTTACTCTACTATGAACTATGTGGTGACGGGAAAGGCTAGAGCTTTGTCTAAAACAATTCCCACACTCACTACACTCATAAGGTCTTTCCCCAGTGTGACCTCTGCAGTGATAAATGAGCATACTACTTTGTGTGAAAGATTTCCCACAATCATTACACTCAAATGGCTTTTCTCCAGTGTGAAGTTTCTTGTGTTGAATGAAAGCAGACCTTTGGTTGAAGGACTTCAAACAATCAGTACAATCAAAGGGCTTTTCTCCAGTGTGAACTCTCTGGTGTTGAAGGAGGCTAAAGCTTCGGCTGAAGGACTTCCCACAATTACAACACTCTTAAGGCTTTTCTCCAGTGTGAACTCTCTTGTGATGAAAGAGGTTAGATCTTTGGCTGAAAGACTTCCCACAATCACTACACTCAAAAGGCTTTTCTCCAGTGTGAAGTTTCCTATGTTGAAGGAGGTTAAAGTTTTTCCCAAAGGTTTTTCCACATTCGCTACATTCATAAGGCTTTTCTCCAGTGTGGACTCTCCTGTGTGTCTGGAGGTGATGCTTGCGAATAAAAAAAATTTTTTTAATGTATTTTATTGATTATGCTATTACAGTTGTCCCATTTCCCCCTTCTCTCCCCTCCACCCTGTACCCCCTCTCCCACCCACGTTCCCCCCTTTAGTTCATGTCCATGTGTCATTCTTATGAGTTCTTTAGCTTCTACATTTCCCGTACTATTCTTGCCCTCCCCCTATCTATTTTCAACCTACATTCTATGCTACTTATTCTCTATGCCTTTTCCCCCCTCTCCTCCTCCCACCCTCCTGCTGCTAGCCCTCCATGTGCCCTCCATTTCTGTGGTTCTGTTCCTGTTCTAGTTGTTTACTTAGGTTCTTTTTGGTTTTGCTTTAGGTGTGGTTGTTAATAATTGTGAGTTTGCTGTCCTTTTACTATACATGTTTTTTCTTTATCTTCTTTTCTTAGATAAGTCCCTTTAGCATTTCATAAAATAAGGGCTTGGTGATGATGAAACTCCTTTAACTTGACCTTATCTGAAAAGCACTTTATCTGCCCTTCCATTCTAAATGAGAGCTTTGCTGGATAGAGCAATCTGGGATGTAGGTCCTTGTCTTTCATGACTTGGAATATTTCTTTCCAGCCCCTTCTTGCCTGCAAGGTCTCTTTGGAGAAATCAGCTGACAGTCTGATGGGAACTCCTTTGCAGGTTACTGTCCCCTTATCTCTTGCTGCTTCTAGGATTCTCTCCTTCGTTTTTACCTTGGCTAATGTAATTATGGTGTGCCTTGGTGTGTTTCTTCTTGGGTCCAACTTCTTTGGGGCTCTCTGAGCTTCTTGGATTTCTTGGAAGACTGTTCCCTTTGCCAGATTGGGGAAGTTCTCCTTTATTATTTGTTCAAATACGTGCTCCATCTGTTGCTTTTCTCCTTCCTGTTCTGGTACCCCTATAATTCGGATGTTGAAACGTTTAAAGGTGTCCTGGATGCTCTTAAGCTTTTCCTCAATTTTTTGAATTCTTATTTCATCATGCTTTCCTGCTTGGTTGATTCTATCTTCCTTCTGGTCCACTGTATTGTTTTGAGACTCAGATTCCTTCCTTTCACTATTGGCTCTCCTCCGTGCATCTTCCTGCATCTCTTTTATGGTAACCTGCATCCTTTCATCTAAATTGCGCCCAAAATCAACCAATTCCGTGAGCTTTCTGATCACCAGTGTTTTGAACTGTGCATCTGATAGATTGGCTATTTCTTGGTCGCTCAAAAGGATGAGTCCTGGGGGACTGATCTGTTCTGTTGGAAACATGTCTTATGTCTTTCCCTGTCTCTCCTTTTTTTTTTTTCCAGTCTGGTCGCTCTTGTTACATTGGGGGGCGGAGCCTTAGGTGTTCACCGGGGCTGGAGACCCCGGTCGCTAGATTGTGACGTTATATGTGGGGGTGGGGACGGGGGCGGGGGCGAACAATGGCGGTAGTTCCGTTCTCCTGGGCTCAGACCCTTCTTTGGGATCCTGGGCTGCGAGCTCTGCCCTGGTCCACAATCGCTGCCTCACTGGGTCCGCCAGCCGCAGCTTGCGTACTCAGGGATCACCGCTGCGTTCTTGCGCCCCAGATGGCTGTCGCGCCGATTTCGCGCCAAATTTTCCCCCAACCTCCGCGTGCCACCGACTCGCGCCAGCCCCGCGGCCGCCCGGCTCATCATCTCCTACCAGTCTGGATGTACGGGTCTACTTCAACTTCTTGGCTGTCCGACTTCCATTCAGATAAATCCTCTGTCGGTTCTGAGTGATATTCTGTCTCTAATTATTGTTGTTCTAATCTTGGTTGTGCGAGGAGGTACGGTGCGTCCACCTATTCCTCCATCTTGCTGGAAGTCCCCGAATAAAAGATTTTCCACCTTGAATACACTCATAAGGCCTCTCACCAGTGTGACCTCTGCGGTGATCAATGAGTTTAGACTTTTGTCTGAAAAATTTCCCACAATCACTACACTCATAAGGTTTTTCACCACTGTGAATTTTATGATGTTGAATTAGAGAAAAGGAAAGGCGAAAAGACTTCCCACATTCACTACATTCATAAGGCTTTTCACCAGTGTGAATTCTCTCATGCTTACCAAGAATAGATTTGTAGCAAAAACACTTCCCACAAAAAGTACACTCATACTGCTTTTCTCTACTTTGAATACTCTGCTGTTGAAGGAGGCTAGACCCTGGGTTGAAGGACTTCTCACAGTCATTATAATCATACAACTTTTCTGCAGTGTGAACTCTCCCATGTCTCTGGAGGTGATATTTGTGACTAAAAGATTTCCCACATTCATTACACTCATAAGGCTTTTCTCCAGTGTGAACTCCACTGTGTCTTTCAAGGCAAGACACACTGCCTTGAAAGATATTTGCGACTAAAAGATTTCCCACATTCAATACACTCAAAAGGCCTTTTACCTGAGTGCCTTCTGCAGTGATCAATGTGTTTATTCTTTCCTCTGAAAAACTTCCCAGAGTCACTATACTCATAAGGTTTTTCACCACTCTGAATTCTGTGATGTTCAGTGAGAGACAAAGAACAGAAAAAAGTCTTCCAACATTTACTACACTCATAAGGCTTTTCACCATTGTGAATTCTCTGATGCTGAACAAGGAGCAACTTATAGCGAAAGTATTTGCCACAAACAGTGCACTTATGCTGCTTTTCTCCACCAGGAATTCTTTGCTGGTGAATGAAGCTAGAGCTTTGGCTGAAGGACTTCCCACAATCACTACAATCAAACAACTTTTCTCCAGTGTAAACTCTCCCATGTGTAATGAGGTCCAGAAAGTGTCTAAAGGCCTTACCACATTTACTAACCTCATAAAACTCTTTATTGCAGCAGATACTCTCACACTGAATAAGTTTGTGGTTCTGGCTGGCAGCGTCTTCACATTCACCCAACAGCTGAAGACTTTCTCCACCATGAAAGGCCTTCCTACTCTCAATGCCACTGTGTCGCTCCTCACTATTAGGAGTGGCCTGGTGCTGGAGAAAGCTTGAGATAGCTGAGATGTCCTCCCCAATCGCCCCACATATGAGAGGTGCCCCTGATACGAAAAAGCTGTACCTGGTCACAGATGAGACCATGTCTGTATCTGCCCCCCAGGGCTTCTCAGCACTGGCAGGCCTTTGTTGCTGGTGTAGGTTTCCACGGAAACAGAAGCCTCTCACAGACACGTTGCTGAAGAATGCTTTCTGCTCAAGGTATACTGCTTGGAACTCAATCACATGCAAAATATCTTTCAAGATTGAGACACACTGCTGACAAGGATGGGCCTTCTGAGTTGCTGGAGCTGTATTAAAAGCCCCAACCAGTGACTCTTCTTTTATAGGTACACACTGCTCACAAGAGGCTTCCTCATCTTCTTTTTTATGCCAACAACCTGAAAGCAGAGAAATGCTGATAAAATGCATACTGATTCTGGTGGGAGGGGCAAGTCTCATTACTAACATGTGGGGACATAATACAATGGTTTCATGACATTGTCTGAAACAGAGATATCAGGGCATATTGAGTGAAATGCTGCTTTGCAGTACTGGGCATCTGAAGATTACAAAATGAAAGAGACCTCACCAGATAAAGGACGCAAAGATGGCAAGCACCATATGGAAAAGAAGCAGGATGTCAAACTCATCTTCTGCTACCAGCATTCATCAGGGCTTGTGTGCTGGTGACATAGGCAAGATATGCGGGAGATTGGTTATTTCCTTTTCTGAGTAAAATTCAATAAATGAATAGCTGTTGTTTGAAGACTACAGATGGATATATTAATGCCTTATTAGCCCTGCATAGGTAATTATTGGACAGTACTGCAGAGGGAACTGTGCAGAAGAACAGGTGATGCATGGAGGCACAAATGTATGGGTAGCCAGGAGGCAAGAAGTCACAGATGAAATGACAAGTCAACAAAGTATCAAGTATGGGAAAGAAAAGGTAGAAATGTGTTATGGCCAGTGGCAGTTGCACAAAAACAGTACTGGACACAAGACAGGTTCTTGGTATCTTCCGAACACAGCCCTTATGTAATGACCTGTAGCATTTGCCACAAAGACCAGGCCTCCTCTGAGACCATCCTGCCATGTCTACCCTGTGAAAGAACTAGTGTTCTCCTTGCATCCTCTATTGTACTACTACTTAGAACCTCAATGATTCAAGTATTAACAAAAGATAACACATGTGATCAGCAAGCAGTGACCCAGAGAAACTCACAATACAGTTGTATTCAAGGGAGACAATATTACAAAAAAAAATACTTTAAGGAGGGTCTCACAAGAAAAGCCCACAGTTCATGCAAGTAATGATTATGTCCAGGTACACCCAGTCACAAAAGAACTTTATTAGAGAAATGAGGGCAGAACTGGAGGCCATGGATCTAGACATAGTCACCCCACAAGAAATAGGGCATGAAAGGTGAAATCCATTAAGCTATTTGCAAGACTCCTAACACCCATATATTTATCTGCACTGTTTTAAGCAATATGTGTTAGAACTCCTCAGGGAGTTCACAGCTCAGGGCACTACTTCACACAGCTCAGCACTGGCAGACACAGCTCAGATGGCATGAAAGTGGGGGAAGAAAACTGATTTCCAGTCAAAATGGCATCACAGGTAAATACAGCTTGCCTCTTTGCACAATAACATCATAATAACAACTAAACCATCATACAAGGATCACTAGAACAGTCAAAAATCAAACCAAATGAAACTCCCACAACCATGGAATTAAAGAAGAAAAAAAAAACACCACAATGTGACTGGTAGGAGGGGCATAGAAATGGAACAGGCTGGTCCTGCACCCACATGTGGTGAATAAAATTAAGAGAGGTATATTTGGAGCAAAGCTTCCTTACTCCATTCCAGGCCTCCTGGGCCAGGGCTCCAATGCCAAGAAGAGAAGTCACCTCAACTTCTGGTTGTAAAAACCAGTAGGGATTGTGGTTGTGGAAGACAGAAACTGCTGGACTCCCTGCCAGATACTCTTAAAGGGCTCGTGCATGGATTTACTGAGATTCAATCCCTCTGAGTTCTAGCGCCAGGGCAGCAGAGTGAAAGCCATCAGAGACATAAGGGTAGGAACTGAACTGTTCAGCAACAATGCAAGACTGGGGGTGGGAAGCTTTCTCCCAGACAGAAGAGCTGGCAGAGGCTACTGTTCCTTTTCTGAACCTTCCCACTACATAACCACATGGTCAGGAGAAGGCATATCTGGGACTCTGTCAACCTGGCTCACACTGTTTGTCCCACGATGGTGGTTCTCTGAGGTCCTACTCCACCAACTCTTGCACCCACCCAAGCTGTTTCCACTGACTTTTCCATATGCATGGCTTGTCTAGGCCCATGCTTCATTACCTCTAAAAAGCAGTATCTGGCTTTACTGAGCCTTGTGCCTCTCACTAAGTTAGCCCAAACCTGGCACTACCATCAGCTGGCCTCAGTTCACAGCTTGGCCTTACCTGGGCACCTCCAAGCCAGCAAACTAGCAGTCATCTGCAGATCACTTTGTAGCTTATGCTGTGTATTCCAGACAGAACATGGGCTGTGGATGACCTTGGCTGTGCCAACAACAATAAAGGCTGAACTACAACAGGAGGGTGTATACAGTCCACACAGTGAGTAAATCACGAGTACCTAGCTTGGGTAAAAGGGGAAGCTGTGCAACTGGACCCTATAAGACATGTACTACATCAGGCCACTCTACCAAGCCAGGGAGATGTATCAGGTCTACCTAATACATTGAAGCAAACACAAGGAGGAAGCCAGAATGAGGACACAAAGAAACACGGTGCAAATGAAAGAACAGAATAATATCCCAGAAAAAGAACTAAACAAAATGGAGACAAGCAATTTACTAGATGCAAAGTTAAAAACACTGGTTATAAGGACGCTCAGGGAACTCAGCGAGGACCTCCACAGCATACAAAAGATCCAGTCAGAAATGAAGGATACATTAATAAAATAAAGAACAATTTATAGGGAATCAACAGAGTAGATGAAGCTAAGAATCAAATCAGCAGTTTGGAACATAAAGAAGGAAAAAACACCCAATCAGAACAGTAAGGAAAAAAAAAAAAAAGAATGAGGATAGTGTAAGGATCCCCTGGAACAACTTGAAGCATACCAACAGTCACATCATGGGGGTGCCAAAAAGAGGAGAGATCAAGAAATTAGAAACGTATTTGAAAAAATAATGACAGATAACTTCCCTAACATGGTAAAGGAAATAAACATACAAGTCCAAGAAGCACAGATAGTCCCAAACAAGATGAACTCAAAGAGGCCCACCCTAAGACACATTTTTTTTTTAAGATTTTTCTTTATTTTTAGAGAGGGAAAGGGAGGGAGAAAGATAGGGAGAGAAACATCAATGTGTGATTGCCTCTTGCACACCTCCTACTGGGGACCTGGCCCACAATCCAGGCATGTGCCCAACACTGGAAATTGAACCGGCAACCCTTTGGTTCACAGGCCAGTATTCAATCCATTGAGCCACACCAGCCAGGGCCCCAAGATACATCTTAATAAAAATGCCAAAATGTACTACCCTCTGGGGGGGATGCACCAAAGTTTAGAGACAGAAAGAGAATCTTAAAAGCAGCAAATGAAAAGGATTAGTTACCTACGAGTGAGCCCCCATAAGACTGTCAGCTGATTTCTCAAAAGAAACTTTGTAGGCCAGAAAAGATTGGCAATAAATATTCAAAGTGATGAAAAGCAAAGACCTACAACCAATATTACTCTACCGAGAAGAACTATCATTTAGTGTCGAATGACAGATAAAGAGCTATCCAGACAACAAAAAGTCAAAGAAGTACATCACCACCAAACCAGCATTATATGAAATGTTAAAGGGTCTTCTTTAAGAAGTAGAGGACCAAAAATATGAACAACAAAATGGCAACAAATACATTCCTATCAACAATTCAATCTAAAAATCAAAATAAACAAAGAAGCAAAGCAGTAACAGAATTATAGGTACAGACATCATTTTGATGTTCCCTCTGGTTACCAGAGGGAAGGAGAGTTGGGAGGATGGATGAAGATGTGAAGAGGGTAAGAAGTACAGATTAGGTAGCTACAGAATAGTCATGGGGATGTAAATTACAGCATAGGGAATAGAGTAGCCAAAGAACACATATGCATGACCCGTGAACATGAGGATTGCCTGAGGGAGTGGAGGTAGGGCTGGAGAAGGAGGACAAGTGAAAAAATTGGAACAACTATAGTATCATAATCAATAAAGATAATTTTAAAAGTGGGAGAAACTAGGAGAGCCCATTGTCTGGCCATGGGAAAGACACAGCTACCTCTGGAGAAAATAAAGACAGGACATCATGACAAGACACTAGGAGTAATATGACCGTCTTACCCACAGATGCTACAACTGCAAAGATTTCCAGCATCACAGTGCAGTGCAGAAATCTCTGAGCCTCATCAAGGAGCCCCCACTCCTCCTGAGAGAAGGCAATGGCTACATCCGCAAAGTTCATATCCTGTCAGAATGGGGAAAGTTCATTCCATGGTCAGCTTCTCTTGGATAACAAGTTTGTCATACCCTATACCCTCGACATGCATCAGCTCACTTGACTCCCTGTAGCAGAGAAGATATCTTAATACCATTAGAGTTACCCTCTCCGTATATTCCCACGGATACTATGTATTCCAATAACAGTAATAGGCAGATAGGCAAATATATAATATCTGAGCTCTGAGCCAGGCATGTGGGCCACACTGCATCTTGTCAATACAGTGGGTGTGACAAACATAGGTTAGGGAGAGAATTTGGCCACAGAGATTGTGTGAGTGATTTGACAGTGGTCTTATCAGTAAAGATGCCTATTATCTCCGAGGTTCTACTTTCACCACCTCCCTAAGCTATTTCCAATGCCAGTGGAGGTTTTCAAGCTTGGATAGGAATGACACCTGCTACCTCATTGAGATCTTATCAATTCTCAACAATAGGCAGGAGCACAGTCAAATGGTATCTAATCATGGGACCAGGCATGTAAAACCACAACAACCCTTTCTTCAGGCAATTTACATGGGGTTACTCATGTCACTCCTCCAGAATCCACAGACGTGGGCTTATCCTACATTTACTATTAAGTCAATGCCACCAGAGCCCTAGGGCCACAAATTCACATGCCCCCTCCAAGTGCACCTCAGTCTTTCTCCCACACCTCTCTCTCAAACCTGCACTCCCACAGCCTCAGGCTCCTCTTGCCCTGCACCACAGTTATCACCTCGGCCTCTCTATTTAGTATTCTGTACATATTGTCCAGAAAATACATGGTAAAACCAAACAGTATCAACTATAATCCAGACTCTGACTGTGTCCACTGACAGGGCCTGCCTTGAGTCCTGCTTTGAAGGCCTCCTTCCCTGACAGTCAGTCCCTTGCTTCAATCTCACCTCACCAGAACCACATCAGATCTCACTCAGATAGATATAGCACTCCTCCACTGGTGTTGCACTTATGTCCTGACACCAGTCTCAGCCTTCCCCTGTCCACCTCACCTTTACTGAAGGCCCATCTTCAATGGTGCTCTACCCCACGCACAATAAGACTCACAGATGACCACTCTGACACTAAGCTAATCTATCAGCCTGAATGCAAAACCCCCGGTTTCACCAAGGGTCAAAACAAAGTCCTGGGGAGTCTTTAGTGCAGTGAATTCACACCAGCCCAGTCTCCTCCTATGTGAATTACTCTCAATTTTACAATCCATCTCATGTCCACTCATGTCTTAGCCACTTGACAAATCATAATCTTTCCTTGTCCTTCTACATGACCACTTCTGATCATATCCTCTGTTGTGACACCCACTTCCTACAACTAGATGGCCTGGCACGAAACCCACTCCTTAATCCCACCCTGCATTCCTGGGCTACTACTACCATTATAATCTTGTGGTCGAATCCCCTTATCAATGTATCCTACAGCTCCTCCCTGATCCATACACTTTTCTCTTCCTGTGGAGAAATCTACATCCTGAACTCCACCTCAGAGTTACAGACATCTATGAACTGCTCTCTGAAACAACTCATACCATTAACAGTGCAAAAACAAAACTCTGATATCCTCAATGAAAATTACTGTTACCTCTGGTTTTCCCCATTCTCTATTGATAATGCTTCCATATTTCAAGTTGTGAAAACCAAACCATCAAATCACTCCTGACTCCTACCACATTCTTTCTCTCAACCTCAAAATTAGAAAATTTTAGCAGCAACACCTAACAGTCCCACTCAGAAACCAACGGCTTCTGCCACCTCCACAACTTCCTGCCTGGTCCTTCTACCACCTCCCTCACACCCACACTTTTCTCCATGCTGCAGCCTCAGGGATTCCAACGAGACCTGGGTCAGGCCACCTGTCTCCACCGCTGCACATCTCCTACTGCTCCCATCACCTGCAGAATACACAGCCAACTTGTCACAGAGCTGCTCTAGACCTGACTCCTGCCCCTGTGGTTCCAGTTCACAAAAGGAAAAAAAGATACCTGCAAGTTTCTGAACCAGTTCAGCCTCCCTTTCAAGCCCTTACACATTCTGGTACCTATCCCTTGGAAGAGGTCCTCTCATATCTCGTTCTACTGTCTGCCAAACACAGGAACCACTTCACATAACTCTAAACCTGGATCTAGAACCCTAGGCTTGGTGACTATTCGAGGTCCACAGGCCCAAGGCCGGAAAGAGTGGCACCACAGTCCCAGGACACTTCTATCTTAAAGACCATTAGAGTGGAAGGCCCTGATATAAGCTCCACAACCAGAACCCTGAGCGATACTGCAGTCCCAGAAATTTGTGCAGACAAAAAGGTCAGCTGAGAGCCTGGCCACCACCACCAGGACCAACGGGCTCAAGCCTCTAGGTGCCCTGGCAATGACTGCACTACCTCAGGGTCTCCATCCTCAGTGCAGACTCTGTCAGTCACGTCACCTTTTATAGGATTCACCTTCCAGTCCCCAACAGCTATCACCTCTGCAGGTCTCTCCTTCCACTGAGCAGTGTTTGGAAAACGTTACAACCCAGTATCAGCCAACGTGGAACTTTTATTCACAACTCTCCACAGCCACCGCATCCGGAGAATGAAGTAAAACTCCTCCCGCACAACTTCGCCTTAGCTTCTGCGTCGCCTTTAGACACAAAACGGCACGGATTTTCCTCCCGGCTCTGCCTACCCTGCGCGTCTTTACACCACAGCGCCTCAGCCCGTCCACCCTCTCCCACTCCTTCACATCGGGTGTCAACCACGAGCGCCTCTGGGTCTGGGATCACTGGACTTGGGCTGCAGCACGTGATGGGCGCTCCGCACGGGCTGTGGGGTTGGCGGAGAAGGGAGGGCCCGGAAAACTGCACTCACCTCAGCTGGACGCCTCTACACGGTTGCCGCCAGCTCACTTAAGCGAAGCGTAGACTGCGAGGCTCAGAGGCCCTGGTCTCGAAAACAAGGAACTCACGCAGCGTGGAACCCTCCTCTGCACAGCTCCCGGGGCGCCCCCTCCTATCACACCACTAAGGAACCTTGCTTGACTCAGTGATCACAGAGGAAAGGTCAAAATGACCGCCACAGAAAACCGGAAGTCCCGCCCTAATCGGTATCGCACTTCACCAATGTGTTCTCTTCTGGGCTTTCACTGGTTCAATCCCGCCATCGCTGTGCTGTGTTGCCCTTTGGGTAAGATAGTAATTTTTAGTCACGTAGGAGACATTAGCTGCCCATCACTGAGTTTAAGAAAAAAAGGTTGTGACTCTGGGGAATGACAATTTGAGGTTTCACTGGACGGCTGGCAGATTTCTGGGAAGTGTCTGCAACTGATCACTTGTTTAGGAGACATTATTTCAGACTCTTTGAAGTTCAATATCCTACATGAGACAGAAAGTATTATTTCTAAAGCAATTTGACTATATTCTCATTGAAACACAAAATGCATCCACCATTACCTGGAATGTGTTAACCATTTCCTGCCTATTCAAATGCATGGAGGCAGAAGTGGATTTTGTAACTCAGTACGTTCAGTCTGGGCCATGATTGGAAGAAGGGATTTATGCTCTCAAGGAGGAAGACTGGGAGTTATCTGTCCCTGGTTCCCACACAGGACATCTCTCCTGACTCTATCCTCAGTGACTGTACAAAGCTATAGACATCATTGTTTATCCATTTAGTATTTCCTACTCAATATTTTAAGATATAGCCAATTTCTTTAGGAATCTGATCTATTTATAAAATGAAGAGCAACTCAACAAACTCCATTTGTGTATAGGATATTGACTACAGTGTTCTCAGGCAGATCACATGTGCAAAGGGTAAATCAGAACAGCATCATCTTGTCATTTTGCAGGGAAGGGATTGCAGTGTTTTGCCATATATAATGTACACCCACGTTTTTTCGGCAAACTTTCAGGAAAAAATTTCATTTAATTTTTTAATTCAATTATTTATTTTTAAAATATTTATTTTTAAATAAAGAGGAAGGGAGGGAGAAAAAGAGGGAGAGAAATGTCAATGTGTGCTTGCCTGTCACATGCCCCTTACTGGGGACCTGGCCTGAAACCCAGGCATGTGCCCTGACTGGGAACCAAATGGGTGACTCTTTGGTTTGCAGGCTGGCACTTGTTGGGAACAGTCCTGCCTGGTTTCAGAAGCTGTAACACCCCCCCAGCTAAGGCTAAGTAAAAGACCTTCAGACCATAAGCCACTAAGGAGACAAAGCTTATCTCCCTGGCTGGTGAACCGCCTCCGTCCCTTTTACTTCACCCTACCTGGCCCTCAGTGCACGATCAGTTAGCCAACGATAGGTAAGATTCCTCAAGGGACGGATGATCTAAGACAGGTATGATCATGGGGGACCCCCAGGGAAGGACTTGGGGGGCTATAGCAAAAGGGGCTGATGGACGCTCACCCCTCCGCTTTGACGTAGCCTGAGTCCTCATTCTGTCTGCACAAAGTCTCCTAATCTTCAGCTGCCTTACTTCCCCTGCCTGATTTAAGCCTAAAACAATGAGAGAGGGTGGTGCAGCCCAGTGCTGGAAAGGGCGGGTTCCCCAGGGTGATCAAGCCTAAGAAAGAATACATAAAATCCTGTGAAACCTGCTTTGCTAAGAATGCTCTCAATAAAATGATAAGGGTCTGAGCAGAAAATGAGTTTGTTTCCCAAAGTTTGTAGCCCCTTAGCTAACAGAATAGCCCTCATAGTTCTTTGTATGCTATCTATTGTTTGATCCTTACTGCCCAACAATGATTAATGAGCTTTAACTGTATTCCTGTGCAAACTGACGCCAATAAAAGCCCATTGAGGAAAAGGCCCTTGGCCCTTCTCCTTTGAGAGATCAGCCACCTTTCCTCCCCAAGCAGATCATGTCTTGGTAGACTTATTCTCATTCATGGTGGCTGGGGGGTGGGGGCCCTGTGGGTGGAACCCCCCCAAAGGCACTCAATCAACTGAGCCACACCAGCCAGGGCTTAACTTACAATTTATAATGACTAATGTGAAACTGTGGCAGGAAAAGAAAAAAGAAAAACCCCAAAAGTTTCTATGCTCTGTAACTGTAACACTTCCAAAATTTCACACAGGACTGTAGAAGCTAACCAGTCGTCACCAAGGCAATGGCCGGTTATCTCAAGGTCGTACACTAACTCCCATGATAAGCTCCTGTGCTCGGTAGCTTCCTCTTGCGTTTTGCTCCTTTGTCTCCCATATAAGGTACCTAGACCTAACTTCCGCACCTAGCTTCTGTAACCTTGCTTCACCACGTAGGTAGGAAGCCCGGGACTATTTAAACCTCCACAAGAGTAAAGATCAGGGCTCAGGATTTGGGATTTAACCCCTGGGCCCCTGGGAAATAAAGTTTGTGCTTCGTTATCTCTCGGCGGGTGAGTGATTTTCCACAACAAAACAACTTTTCTAGGCCTAATAACCATGTATTCTTTAATGAAAATTCTGCCCAAATATGTTGCATTTTTTAATATTTGTGATTTTCTTATTGATTTGTGATTTGGTTGTTATCAAAGGAATCAAGTCCTTCATTCAAATATTCACAATTTTTCCCTACAATTCTGTTGCAATTTTCTATTACTTTAAGGTTATATATGTAAGGTATACATATTTAAGCTATACATATTATGTAATCCCATTGTTTTTAAGGTTGTATTAACATAATTAGCAATTCCCCAATATTTAATGTTTTAGTTTATATTTTAATTAACTTTTTCTACACAAATTGCTATGGAATTTCTTTCTCATAATTGAATCGTAATTAATAAGTTGATAATGAGTTGCAGTAGATAAATCCCTAAGGTAAAATTTGGGGGGATTGATTTGGCCATCTCCTTGGGCTTGAATGAAATACTAAACATTTAACCAATGGGAAATTGGATGCTAATGACTGACACCACACAATACTGTCATAATTAACATGTTAAATTTTAGTCCCAGTGTGAAAACCATAAGTTTGTATGACAGCCCTAAATGAAGCTGTGATTTCTGTGTCTACAGTGCTTATATTGCTGAAAAATCAAAAGATTAATGTTGGAAAATTACAATATGAGTTGAATACAGTATTATAATTTTTCTTGTCAATTTTAGGGCATTCATTCATAAAGTAGGATTCAAAAATCATTAAATGAAGACAATTTCATTAGATGTAGAAGAGAATTACAATCTGGAACTCTTAAATAACTGAGTCTCTCTCAGCGGGTGTCTGGGAGACTAATCTTCCTCTGCTAATGTCACCTGAGATAATCTCCTGTAAAGGAATGCTAATTATTTGCTAGATTCACCACTACAACTTATAACTAGTACTAATTCTCAGCATGATCTAGAAAAATAATGGACACATCAGAAAAATTATACTTTGCCAGTACATTTTTTTTTTTAATCAAAAAAGCTAGGGAGCTACTGTGGGTGTGAGTTCTAAGGTTGTTTGACCAGGAAGAGCAAAATATATTAATACACCAATACAACAGATGAATGGACCAAATTCACTGATAGAGTGAAGAATAGAGATTCACTTTAGTAGCAGGTTAGCTTATGAGGCTGGAGGAGTTTGTTCTAACAGCCTACCTTTTCAGTTGACTGTGGATTCAATGGTGGCCTTTTGGTTAATGAGGCTGAGATGCCAGAATTTGTCTCATATGATATACAAGACAGAATTGAAAGGCTTAGGAAGACAGTGCTCCTTTCTGCAGCACCCATACTAAAACCAAAATGACAAAGAATCAAATCACCTTTGCATGACAATGACAAATTTGTGAAGCTTTCTATATTCTTTTAAAGGAAAAATTAGGAATAGAAGTATTGGCTGAATTTATCATGTGTGACAAGTACATCTATATGTGTATTAATGGCATTTTAAAATCTTCTGTATTTGATAATGTTGACATCTTGGAAGCCTACAGACCTGGAAGTGACTTCACCACCCAGAGCTACCTAATTCTAAATATACAACCTGCCCCAAAACCTGTCTTTATTTCATGTGCAAACCAGCCAATTCCTAACCATAACCCATACACTTCCTTTATCTGACTCTCACACAACAAACCAGTATTTTCCCTAAAACAACCCAGGGCTAGGTACCAGAATAGTAGTGATCACTCCTATTCCTGAAACCTACCAGAATCACTCAAAGTTAACAATCCTATATAGTGTAAGCTACCCTGCTATCCCTTTCTCAAGAAAGCCACAAGAAACACTTCTGCTCATGTTCTCACTCCTTTCTGCTTTCTGACCAGCACTGTTGCTTTGCAATGTGTCCAAGTGTGGTACAACGTGTCTCTGCTCTTGGGAACTGTAAGTAATGAAAAATTCTTACAGACATATTAAATACTCCATGTCACCAATCACCTCTGTAAATTAACACCCCAAGGGTAGCCCTGCTTGATGTGGCTCAATGGATTAAGTACAACCCTGCGAACCAAAGGGCTGCTGGTTCAATTCCCAGTCAGGGCACGTGCTTGTATTATGGGCCAGGTCCCCAGTAGGGTGCCTAAGAGGCAACCACACATTGATGTTTCTCTCAGTCTTTTCCTTCTTCCTTTCCTCTCTAAAAATAAATAAATATTTTTTAAAAATTAAAATAAAACCGCAAGGCTATAATCAAGATAATTGATGTAGAAAACAGGGAGACTGGTGATATTCTACAGAAGAGCATGCCTTCCTGACTGCTCCTGGCTGCCTAAGCAGATTACTTAAACATCCAACATTGCCTGAAAAGGCACAGCTAATTCTTGACCCATTTACTCTTTGGGTGCCATTTCTTTATGCTGTGAATGTGTACGCTGTCATGGTACTCCAACTTCATTTATAAGATGATCTCAAAGAAGGGTGTGGAGAATGGTCATGGCTAAGAACATCTGTTAAATTGGTTAGAACTTGAGCTTCCTTCAGACCTTCAACCTATCATTCAATGTCTAAAAAGAAACAGTGATTCCCAGATGGCACTCAGTACTAAGGGACTGATGGTAGGGAGAACCTTTTAGTAGTATTAGTAGGAAGACTAACAGGGTTTAAACACAAATTACTCTATGTAATGGTGAGGATGAGTGATGTGTTCATGGTGACAGTGATGACCTTGCTGCCTTCCATGAGGACAGGGAGGAGTTTGCAGAGAAGGTACAGCATGTGGCGGGGAGGGGCCCTGGGGCCTGTGGTGATATCAGAGCATTGTTATGAGACGGTCCCACCTCACAGGAAAGAAATCTGGGGGTCTGGCTGGAATCTGCTGTTTCCCTCAGAGAGAGGATGCAAAGGAACAAGTTGAGCTGACCCAGAACTTGTCAGCTAAATTTTCCCAGCTCATATGCCTGTCTGCTGGGCACTCCCTCTGATCTGCAGTTACCCACTTTGAGTTGACATAACAAACAATGCCTCTGCTCAATAATTTGAGGGGTGTTAAATGAGATAGTTCTGAGGAGAGCTCATTAATATTAGCTACCTATGAGAATTTTTTTTCAAAGTTGCCATGCAACTTTGGTAGAAGAGCCCCACACTTCCTGAGATACTAGACTGTGGGCTTAGAACGATGCCCGGATCCACACCCTCACTGGAGGTCACTAGAGATTCCCCCTTCAATCCAAGCCCATGTCCACTTTTCAATAGTGAGCAGAAATCCCTCCAAGGCTGTTGGAAGATATAAACAACTCAAGTGCCTAGAAATTGGCTGGTCTTCAGAGTTCTGATATTTCTGGAAGGAGGAATTGGTAATGGGTAGCAGTGCATCTGGAGAGGGACCACCCAAGAAGAAAGTTGTGATATTTTTACCCAAGGCTCCTATCGAAATGGGCATGTTGGCAGGGTTCTCACCTGCCTCTTCCTAAAGCTATAACCACCCCACCTGACAGAAATAGTTACTACATGGCAGAGCCACCCAATCACTTCCATGGGACCTTAAGTAAAAAGTGGCCATCTATCCAGAGCCCTTTAAACACTTGTAATAAATTTACCCAGCTTCTACCATCCTTGGGATTTGAATATTTTCAGGCTGACTTAAAGCATTTCTTTGCTGAAAAGCCCCAGCCCTTAGTTGCTGAAAAGGGGATATTTAATTTTTTAAAAAAAATTTATTTAGAGAGAGGGAAAAAGAGGAAGAAAGAGGGATAGGTTGCCTCACATACCCACAGTGACCTGGGACCAAATCACACTCAAAAAAGGCCTTTTGAGTATAAGAATTGTGGGGTGTCTTTTTCCAGAAGCTTTACCCTTCATTGTGATCAGAGTTCACATGGAGAATAACCTTATGAGTACACAATGTGTAAATACTTTCATGAGTAGCTCCACCTTTTGTCATCATTGAGTTGTTCACTAGATAAAAGCTTTTTGAGTACAGGGAGTGTGGGAAATCCTTTATCTGTATCAGCCAGTTGCATTGTCATCAGAGTTCTTACTGGGAAATGTCCTTATGTATGCAGTGAATGTGGGAAGTGGTTTTTTGTTTTTTTTTTTCTTCCCCATCAGTAACTCGTTATCATGAGTTTACACTGCAATGCTTTCTGAGTGTTGTATGGGGAATATTTTACCAGTAGCCATGGCCTCTGTTATCATAAGAGTATTCACAATCACTCAGTTCTTACAAGAAAATTAGGGAAATGTTTTACTTCTAGACATTTTTTATCTTCTCTGAAGTCACAGGTGGTAGGTTTTATACATACATGCAATATCAAAAGTGTTTTTTATAGCACTAAGCTCCATTATATTTAGAGATTTCACTCTAGCTAAAGGCCTTAGAAGTACAGGCAGTATGCAAATTTCTTTTTCCATCCTTTTTCCTTTATATCACCAGTTTCCATAGGAGATAAACTTTCTGGAGACACCAATGTGGGAAATCTTTTACTTTATAGTCATTTACACCTTAGTCACAATTCCCTGCTTAAAGGCTTCAAGTGTGGTGTGAACATGGGAAATCTTTAGCTGAATGTCTACAATCTTTTTTTTTTTTTAAAGATTTCATTTACTTTCAGAGAGGGGAAAGAGGCAGAGAAACATCGGTTGATTCTCACGTGCCAACTGGGGACCAGGCCCATAACCCAGGTATATGCCCTGGTTAGGACTTGAACTGGTGATCCTTTTATTCATAGGCCTGTGCTCAATACACATGGGCTGGCACTCAATCCAGCCACACCAGCCAGAGCGTCCACACCCTTTTTACATTGGAGAGTTCTCATTGTGAAAACAGTTAGATTTTAGAGTATACTTTTTTTTTTTTTAATTTTGAGGGGGGTGGGAGGGAGAAAGGGATAGAAACATCAATATGTAGTTGCCTCTCACCCACCCACTACTGTGGACCTGGCTGACAACCCAGGCACGTGCCCAGATTGGGAATCCAACTGGCAACCTTCTGGTTCGCAGGTCAGCAATCAACCCACTAGGCCACATGAGGCAGGTAAATTTATTTTCAAATGATTTAACTTACATTTACAGAGTGGAAGGGAGAAACATTGATGGATTGCCTTTCATACTGGCCCTGATCTGGGATAGAATCCACAACCCAGTCATTTGCCCTGAATGAGAATCTAATTGGTAGATTTTGGCTTTATAGGACACCCAATGAAATGAGCCCCACCAGGGAAAGCTAAAAAAGTGACTTTGTTTCCAACCCTGAATGATCTCAATGTCATCCAACTTGATAAGGTATAAAATAACTTTGTAAGGTGTTACCCCTGACTAAAAATATATACTATCACCCAATCTTTTGCAGATGAAAAAACCAATGGCATTTTTTAAAAACAATTTTTAGAGAGGAGGGAAACAGATTGGTTTCCTCTCACATGCACTCAACTGGTGACCAGGTTGACAACCCAGGATTGTGTCCTCACTGGGAGTCAAACTGGTGACCTTTTGGTTTGCAGGCCAGTGCTCAATCCAAGGAGCCACACCAGCCATGGCCCAATGGCTTTCTTAAAATAGCAAAAAGTTCAGAAAGCCTTGAGCTCCCTTGGCAAAATGTACGCTCATTAGCCCTAATGGCCATGTAGTCCACTCACAGGGACAAATCAGCTATCTCTATTGAAAGTTCCACAGGTGTGGTGTTTTCATTTCTCATACCAAGCTATACCCTATTATTTGCAGGCATGGCAAAATAGTACAAGGTACACACATACTACACTCAGCCCCTACCACCACCTTGTTAATTCCAGTTTGGTTCTAAAAAGTAGTATGAAAAAATAAATGGCTACCCTTCAATATGATATTAAGAAACGTCTAATTAGTTACCAGAGTAGGAAGTATAAACATTAATGTGCCAAAATATACGGCCCCTGGCACCAATATGTGATCTCTGGTAATACTTATTGATCACCCCACAACTCCCGGCAACTAATCTTTGCTTCTCCAAATACAAAGTGCATTATCTCCAAGGCAATGTAAATCAAGTAGTATATTGTTTACTTTTGTTCTGTGTGATCTTTTTTCTCCCAGATTTATTTCTCAACATTATCTCATATTATGACTTTGTGTGGGTGTGACTTCAATCTTTTTTCATCTTTACTAAGGTATAATGAACAAACCTGTGTAATATTTATAATGTACATTGTGATTTGATAAGCAAATACATTGTAAAAACAGCTCAGGACTTCTAATTTTGATTTTTTTTTTTTTTTAAGTTTTGTAACTAGGAGAAAACTTGGAATCTGTGACAGGCCAAGGGTACACTGTGTAAAGACCTGTTCTTTCTTTCCTATTCCTCCTAAAATGAATTTTTAAAAAATTGTCCGAATTTATTCCCACATTTGCTTCACTTGTTTGGATTTTCTCTACTATGAACTTTCTGGTGCAGGGAAAGGCTAGAGCTTTGTCTAAAACACTTCCCACACTCACTACACTCATAAGGCCTTTCCCCAGTGTGACCTCTGCGGTGATCAATGAGCTTACTGCTTTGTCTGAAAGATTTCCCACAATCATGACACTCAAAAGGCTTTTCTCCAGTGTGAATTCTCTGGTGTTGAATGAGGGCAGATTTCTGATTGAAGGACTTCCCACACTCATTGCACACAAAAGGCTTTTCTCCAGTGTGATTTCTCTGGTGTTGAACGAGGGCAGATTTTTGTTTGAAGGCCTTCCCACAAATACTACATTCAAAGGGCTTTTCTCCAGTGTGAATTCTCTGGTGTTGAAGGAGGCAAGAGGTTAGCCTGAAGAACTTCCCACAATCAATACACTCAAAGGGCTTTTCCCCAGTGTGAACTGTCTTATGCTTAAAAAATTGGTATTTGCGACGAAAACATTTCCCACATTCACCACACTCATATGGTTTTTCTAGAGCATGAACTTGATGACGTTTAATAGAACACCTCCGATGATTAAAAGATTTCCCAAATTCACTATACTCATAAGGCATCTCTCTCGCATGAATTCTCCCATGTCTCTGGAGGTGATGTTTACGACGAAAAGATTTCCCACATTCACAACACTCAAAAGGCCTTTCACCAGTGTGACATCTGAGGTGATCAGTGAGCTTACCCTTTTTTCTGAAAAATTTCCCACATTCATTACACTCATAAGGCTTTTCACCAGTGTGAATTCTCTGATGTTGAACAAGGGTAAATTTGTAGTGAAAATGCTTCCCACAGACAGTGCACTCATGCTGCTTTTCCTCACTGTGAATTTTCCTATGTTGACAAAGGTTAGATCTATGTCTGAAGGACCTCCCACAATCACCACAAACAAGCAACTTTTCTCCAGTGTGAACTCTCCTATGTGGAATGAGGTTAAAAATTTGTGTGAAAGCCTTTCCACATTTGGTACCTTTGTAAAGCTCTTTTCCAGAGCAAACACTATGTTGTTGAACATATTCCTTGGTGTGGCCAGAAGTTTCTTCACATTCACCAGGCAAGGCCTGCCCACTGCATTGCTCCTGACCATTAGGAGTGCCCTGGTACGGGAGAAAGCTTGAGATGGCTGGAAATTCTTCTGTAACCTCCTTATCGGTGAAAGGGGCCCTGTTTATATATCCTTTCCAAGGCTTCTCTCCACTGGAAGGCCTCTGTTGATGGTGAAGGTTTGCACTGAAACTGGCGTCACTGAAGAATGCTTTCTGCCCAAGGTACGCTGCCTGGGACTCAGTCAGGTTCAATATGGCTCTCAAGACTGAGACACACTGCTGACAAGGAAGGGCTTTCTGAGTTGCTGGAGATGTCTTAGAAACCCCACCCTGTGACTCTTCTTGTACATATACACTCTGCTCACAAGGGGCCTCCTCATCTTCCTTTTTATGCCAACAACCTGAAAGCAGAGAAAGGCTGAAAAAATGCATGTTGACTTTGATGGGAGCAGCAAGTCTCAACATAAAAGTGTGTTAGGCATTAATGTGATGGTTTCATGACATTGTCTAAAAAGGAGAGATCTAAGGGCATACAGAATAAAATGCTACTTTGCAGTACTGTGCCTCTGAGAATAATCACAAAATAGAAGAAACCTCAACAAAAAAAAGGACACAGAGATGGCAAGCATCACATGGATAATAAACAAGATGTCAAAGTCACCTTCTGCTAACTATTGGTGACATAGGCAAGCTGACCAGGAGCTTGGTTATGTCCTTTTCTGTGAAAAATTCAATAAATGAATAGATGGTGTTTGAAGACTTCTTAAGAATTTATGCATTCCTCATAACCCATATGTATGACATTGTTGCAGATTATTGCAGAGGGAGCCATGAAGAGGAACATGTGATGCACAGAGGGCACATATGTGTACACAGGAGCCATGAAGTCACAGATGAAATGACAAGTCAGCCAAGTGTCAAGTATGGGTAAGAAAAGGCAGAAATGAGGTGTGGCTAGCAGCCACTTGTACAAAAACAATAATGGACACAGGTGAGGTTCTTGATATTATCTGAATACAGCCCATAAGTAATGATGTACCTCAGTTCTCACCACAAGGGTCAGGCCTCTGAGACAATCCCGTCAAGTCCACCCTGTGAACAGAACGAGGATTCTCTCTGCCCCCTTTATTGGCTGCCGTGGCTCAGTGGATTGAGTACCAGCCTGTGAACCAAAGGGTTGCTGGTTCAATTCCCAGTCAGGATACACTCCTTGGTTGCAGGCCAGGTCCACAGTGAGGGGCACACGAGAGGCAACCATACATCAATGTTTTTTTCCCTCTCTTTCTCCCTCCTTTCCCCTCTCTCTAAAAATAAATAAATAGTTAAAAAAAAAATCTCAATGATTCTAGTATTAATTAAAGACAGCAGAGGTGCTCAGGAACCACTGACCCAGAGCAACTCGGCATAAAGTAGTATTCAGGGAAGGCAATGTTACAAAAACAAAAAACAGAAAACAAAACAAAAAAAACAACCCTTCAAGAAGGACCTCACAGGAACAGCTCAGGTTAATGTAAGTAATGTCCATAAACTGGTACACAGAATCACAAAAAAATGTTAGGTAGAGAAAAAAGGGCAGAACTGGAGGTCATGGATGTGGACACAGTGACCCAAGCAAGGAACAATGCAAGTAAGGTGTGATCCATTAAGCTGTTTGCAAGACTCCTGACACCCAAACACTTCCATGCACTTTTTGAGGTAACGTGTTAGAAGTGCTCGAGGAGTTTATGGCTCAGGACACTCCAAACAGCTCAGCATTGGAAGCCACAGCACAGATGACAAGACAGTGAGGGGGAATCAACAGAGCATGTGGTCTGGCTGTGGGAAAGAGAGCTACTTCTGGAGAAAATACAGAAGGTAGGACATCACCTCAGGATAAAAGGAGAGGTTTGAAGGTCTTACCCACAGATGCTAGAAGGACAAAGATTTCTAGCATCACATCGCAGTACAGAAGTCTCTGAGCCTCATCAAGGAGCCCCCACTCCTCCTGGGAGAAGGCAATGGCCACGTCTGCAAAGCTCATATCCTGTCAGAATGGGGACAGTTCATTCTATGATCAGCTTCTCTCCTAGGATTCTAAGTTTGTCCTACCCCTCAACCCTCCACATCCATCTGATACCTGACTCCCCACATCAGAGCAGATACAAAACCTTGGTGCTATTAGAATCACTCTCTCCTTATATTCCCATTGATACTGTTCCTGCCCACAAAAATATGCTGATGGGCACACAGACAATACCTTAGCTCTGAACTTGGCACCTAGGCCATACTGCCTCTTGTCAATACAGTGAGTGGAATACAGTGGGTGACACAAACTTAGTTTAGGGGAGAAGTTGGCCACAGAGATGATGTGAGTAATTTGAAATGGGTCTTGTCAGGTAATACTGCTGTGGTCTCCTAGAATGTCCCTCCAAGACACAAAAAACAGGGCATCCCCTTCAACCTATGTGTCCCATCCCAGGGTCCTTATTCCATCACTTTAAACAAACTTCTGTCCTGTACATAATTTTTGGAATTCCACTTCTCTCACACAGCTATCTTTCCAGAGTCACTTGAAAGGAAGCACAGCCCTGCCAGGACAGAGATTGTTCCCTGATCACCTTCTTTACCAGGATTCTAATGTCACCACCTCCATAATCTATCTCCTGCTTACTGTCTCCCTTCCCCATGCTAATGTTTTCAAACCTGGGTGGCAGTGACATCTATCTGATCAAGGTCCTATTGATCACTGTATCAGCCCTCAAAAAGAGTAGGCAGGTGGGCAGACAAATGGAATCTAATCTCTGAACTGGGAATGTAGAATCACACCCTTTTTTTTTTCATACACTTCCCATGGAATTACCCAGATCAGTCTTTGAGAATCCACCAGACACGAGCTCACCCTCTATTTACTCTTAAGTCAAGGCTAGTGCCCTGGGGCCATCAATTCACACTGCCCCCTCCACGTGCACCTCAGTCTTCCTACCATACTTCCCTCTCAAAGTGCACACCCACAGCCCCAGCCTCCTCCTGTCCATGCCACAATTATTGCCTTGGCCTTTCTACTCATTACTCAGCATATGTAGTCCAGAGAATACATGGTAAATTCAAACAGGATCAAGTACTACCCAGTCTCTGATGGTCCCCCACTGACAGTGGCTACCTTGATTCCTGCTATGAAGGCCCCCTCCCTGAGGGTTCCTTGCTTCAACTTCACCTACCAAGAACCACATCAGATCTGAGATACACACAGTCTTCCTCCACGGGTACTGTACCTGATAACCTGACACCAGTCTCAGCCTTCCTCTCTCCACCTCACTCTCACTCTAGGGCCAGCCCCAGTTGCCCTCTACCCCATGCCCCGTGAGTCTCACAAATGAATACTTATGCCCCTACACTTCACCTGTCAGCCTGACTGGGATACCCCAACACAGCAAAGTCCTGGTGAGTCTGTAGAGCAACAAATATGCACCAGCACCAATCTTCCCTTGTGTGAATTACTGATGTTTACAATCCATCTCACGTCCACTGATGCCTTGAAGGCCTTGGCCACTTATCAAATCATATTCTCTGCTCATCCTGCTACACAACCACTTCTGTCTGTATCCTCTGTTGTGACACCCACTTCCCACGACCAGATTCCCCAGCAGGAAATCCAGTCCTCAGCCCTGCCCTGTCTTCCTGGGTTACTACTACCAGTATCATCCTGACCAGGATTCCCCATATCACAGTGACCTACAGCTCCTCCCTGGTCCACAGACTCTCTGGTACCTTTTGGAGAAATCTTTATCTTGAACTCCTTCTCAGAGTTTCTGACATGTATGAAATGCTCGCTGTAACATCTTATGCCATTAACAGGTCAAATATAAAATTCCTGATATCCCCAATGAAAATCTTTCTTTCTAGTGTTTTCTCCCCTTTTCAATTGATGATGTTTCCATAACTGCAGTAACTAACACCAAACCATCAAGTCCTGACTCCTACCCCTCTCTCAACCTCAAGATTAGAAAAATTCGGCAGCCACACATAAAAGTCCCATCCAGAATCCAACTGTTTCACCCACCTCAAAGGCCACCTTCCAGGTCCTTCACTCACCCAAATTATATAATCAGACTTCTCCCTGGTCTTTCTACCACTTCTACCATACCCATAGTGTTCTACATCCTCCTGCCACAGGGATTTCAATGAAACCTAGGTTAGATCACCTGGCTGCACTGCTCCAAATCTCCCATTGCTCCCATCACCTGCAGACAGACACCCAACTTGAAACCAAGCTGCTCTAGACTTGACGCCTGTCCCATTGGTCCCAGGCACATAAGAAAGGATACCTGAAGGTTTCTGAACCAGCACATCATCTCCTCCAAGCCTATGTACATTATGGTACTTATGCCTGGAAGGATTTCTCACATCTCATTCCACTGGCTGCCAAAAACAGGAAAATCTAAACCTGGACCCAAAACCATGGGCTTGGTGTCTGTTGAGGGTCCCCAATACCAGAAGCTGACAGTGTGGCACCACAGATCACAGACACCTGTATCTCAAAGACTCTATGCGTGGGAGACCCTGAAATAAGCCCTGCAAACCAGGACCCTAAGTGATTCTTGAGTTGCAGGAATCTGGAAAGAGAATGATCTGTTGAGAGCCTGGCCACCACTCCCAGAACCCACAAGCTCAGGCTACTAAGTGTTCTTGCCCAACTCTGGGGCCAGGTGCTCTCAAGGTGACTGCATTATACCTCGAGGCCTCAGTACTCACTATAGATTCTGGGAGAAAAATCATCATTTATAGGATTCACCTCCCTGTCCCTCACTGCTATCACCACTTCTAGTCTCTTCTTCCTCTTGATGGGGGGAATTTGAAAGTTGTAAATGTTTAGTTTTAAGTAATACTTAATGAGCTTACTAATAATGCATGTAAAAAGCTACTATTTCAGGAAATAAAGGTACAACTCATCCTGACTCCAGGATATGACAAGTAAGTCCATCTTTGAGCCCCAGGAGGACTGAATGCAATCAGGATGGTATCTGAGCCATTGTGCTCCAGAGAGAGACATCTACTGCCCGGGGTACAGATAAAAACAACCACTGCCCTTGCTGCTATAGCTCTGTGGATTGAGCACAGGCCTGAGAACCAAAGGGTTGCTGGTTCGATTCCCAGTCAGGGCATATGCCTGGGTTGCGGGCTGTGTCCCCATTTAGAGGCACATGAGAGGCAACCACAAATTGGTGTTTCTCTCACTCACTTTCTCCTTCCCTTCCCCTCTCTCTAAAAATAAATAAATAAAATATTTAAAAAAAAAGACAACCACCCAGGTCATGATTGGTTATAGCTGCCTGACACTCAATCCACCGAGCCACGCCAGAGTCACCCAGACCACACTGCACAGGCTGCAGATAAAGATTCACTGTTCAACAAATAAAGGAATGCTGGGCTTTTATTAATCTTTTGCCTTGATTCCAAACCCCTTACCTACCGTTTTCCTTTCCTTTTTAAACGGGTACTTTCAAAATGGAATACAAGACCATCTTTCAGGGTGCGCAACCTGCAGTCTTAGATCGCCAGCCATCTGGAAAAAAGCGGACATAAAAGATTCAATCTTTTTCTCTCCTTATCGGGCCTGGTGGTGACTGGCAGCACCAACGCCAGCGTCTCCAGTTTCACTCCGAGCAATGTTTGGAAAATGTTACAACCCAATCAATCAAGATACCTCTTTTCCTCACAACCTTCCATGGCCACCCGCGTGCGCTCCTCACGTACAACTTCGCCTGAGCTTCTCCGGAGCCTTTAGATACAAAACAGGTCCCAGTTTTCCAGGTTCCTCCTGGTTCAAGCGCCCTTCCACGTTTTACGCGGCAGCCCCTCAGACCATCAGCCCCTGGGACCGTCAGCCTCTCCCACACCGTCACGCCCGGTGTTACCTACGAGTGCCTCCCGGCCCCGGAAGCTAGGGCCTGGGCTGCAGGACCTGACGGAAGCCCAGCACTGGGGCTGGAGGGCTCGGGGGGCTGAGCGGGGAGGGCCGGAGGACCGCGCACGCCACTCAAACCAGCGTCTCAGCCCGGCCACGCCAGCGGTTATGTGGGAGAAACGGAGCCTACGAGATAATGAGACCCGTTTCCGGCCAAGAGGAACACGCAGGGCCTCAGACCCACCTCCGCACAGCAGGGACCACACCTGTTCCGCGGCTTCTGTCCAGACGCAGCGATAGGGAAGCCCTGACTGGAAGAGATGGGCGAGGCCAAAATGTCCGCCAGAAGAAGCCGGAAGTTCTGCCCTAACACGTTGCGCACGCACTAATCCGCTGTCTTCTGAGTTTTTTCATTGGTTGAACCTCTCCATCCCTGTGCCTACTGCCCTCTGAGTCTTGTATTCTTTTTAGCTGCGTAGGAGGTGTTAGCTGTCCATCACTGACCTCAAGGTGTATATAAAGGTTTTGTTACACCAGGAGTGGCGCTGTCGGATGTCAACTTCAGTTTCACCGCCTGTTGTGCAAGTTTCTATTTCAGATTCTCTGAAACTCAGAATGCTACAGGAGACAAAAACTATTATTTCAAATCCAATTTGACTGTATTCTCACTGAAACACAAAATGCATCCACTCTTACCTGAATGTGCTGCCTTCTTCCTATACAAATGCATGGGGTCAGATTGCTTAGTGGATTTTGTTACTGGTTCACTTGCAGTGACTTGGCCTGTGTCATTAGAAGTAGAATGGCAGTATTCCAAAAAGAAGCCCACCCAAGATCACCTTGCATACTAGAACCGTGGTAGGTACCAGCAGAGGCTCTTTTTGCCCCAGTGTTTTCTGGATTTGCACTGGATGAGCTTGGGTGAGTTTCCTTGGAATTCCGGACCTCATGTTATAAGAGGCTGAATTTCTTTGATGGTGTTTGTTTGTTTGTTTGTTTGTTTGTTTTTTATCCTTGAGGTAAAACTAGACGGTTAAGGTTTAAGAAACCAGGCGAAGGTAGGACAGGGGGAGAAAAATGGATGGCTGATTTTTAACTTTGGCTTATAGTTGAAGTTGCTAACTGGGGGTCTTAACATTTGCTGGATAAATAAAAGTCTAAATTCTTTTAGCCCTGAGCATGAGAGGCGCTTACTCCCTCTGGTTCATCTCAGACATTCTTAGGTGACTAGAAATCTTTGTGGAGTGGGCAAGGGAGGCAGAGACTCCTGGGCAGTTTGAGATGCATAGACAGGGACTTACCCTTACTGGAAAGAATTCACTTACTTGCAAGTACTTACAGAAATGGGAAGATTTAACCAGAAGTGACCAATTTAACATGGCTAAAATGTGTCTCTTTTAATGCCTGAAATAATTTTTGCATGAAAAATTAGAAAAGCAGGCTCTAAGTTAAACTGAATGAATGGGAAGCTTATCTTGATTGCAAATTAGAAACTTCTAGGAGGAGCACATGTCAATTAGCACTAGAATAGAAAACATGGAAGGCCACTTTTCAGGGCTGGCTCTGGCGGTGGCTGCCCCCAGGATGTGTTTTCTTAAGTAGACTGGCAAGCTGTGGAAGCCATGGTTCCAGCGATCTGCCCATTTTCTGATTCTTGCCAGGCCAGGGTTAGGCCCTTCCTGGACCTGCTGGGGATTCATGCTCTTTGGTCAGCTCCTTTTCCAGGGTTGGAGAAGCTGGGCTGTGCCCCTTTGTGTTGCTATTTTGGCTTCTGCTGTGGGAACCTCTGGTGTTGTGCTGCCTCATCTTGTTACAGGGTGCAGCCAAGAGGGGGGGACCCCAAATGGACATTTGAAATGGGGTCCAGAACTTAAGGTGTCCAGGAGATTTTAAGATGTCTCCATCCCCCCCCACCCAGGGTGTGGGTTGGGGGAAGGGACAAATGGAGCAAGGCCATTGAGATCTGTTTTGCATAGCAACAGCCTTGCAGCTACCCTCTGGCGTGGTCATTTAACATATCTATAGCCTTTGGCTGGTCGCTTAGATATGTTAAATAGCTGTGATCATCTCTGGGGGGGGTGATGGAAGTAACTTCCCCACCAACACGTGACTGGGGGCAGCTCCCCCAGGCTACAGCGCCTGCGTGGGAGCTCGGAGAAGATTGGCCGAGGGGATTTAAAACCCAGACTTGGCGGCCATTAGGGGAGTGAATCATGCGCAGCCCTGAGAAGGAGAGCCATGCGCATCCCAGAAAAGGAGAACCACGCGGCTTTCGCAGAGTGAGGACTCTCCCTTCCCGCAGCCATAGGAGGGAGAACCACGCGGCTTTGGACAGAGTGGGGACTCTCCCCTTCCCGCAGCCCTGAGAGAGAGAACCACGAGGCCTGGACAGAGTGGGGACCCCCGCAGCTTTAGAAGGGGGAACCACCACCTGGTTTTAGCAAAGATCCTGGCGACTCAGCCGAGGGTGCCGGGAACCCAGGGAGGTCTCCCAGTCGAGAAGGAGGACTAAGAACCAGAGGACTGTCTGAGCCATGGACTTCGTTTTCCTTCCCTGAAATACGGTACTCTGGACTGGGCAAAGGGGGGAAGGAAGGAAGGACTGTGTCTGTTTGTGGGTGTTTTTGGGGGACTTTGGGGTTTTTGATAAAGACATTAGGTCACTACTTGAAGTTTGTATAGCATTAAATAAACATTTCCTTTCCTTTTCACGAATCTCTGGCATTGAGAGATGTCTTTCCTCGGGCGGCGGACATGACGGACCTGGGGGCCTTTTAAATAATAGTATATCGTCCCAGGCCCCCCCTTGTTCTGTTCTGTAACAATCTGGTTTCTGCTCCACATGTACTCAGAGGAGGGTTTTTTCCTGCTCCATCTTTTCTAGTGGTCCTGATTCTTGGCTTTGGTTGAGCCCAAGGGAAATGCTTCCTGCCCACCTGGAGGGTTAAATCCTAAGAGTGAGGACCAGGCAGCTTCCTGGAGTGTATGAATAATCCTGTAAATACTACAGATTCCAAGTAAATCAGGCATGATGAAGTGCTGTGGCTTCATGATGAAGCAAGCTTGGTGTCTGGTTCAACTGCCAAGTTTGTTGAGCTTAATGTCTAATGCAACAAAATTACTAAATTTATTTTGCTGGGAAGCTCTTGTGGAGAAGTCTGTTTCTACTGCAAAAAGCCAGGTTACCTAGGAGAAATTGGAGAAGGCTGAAGTGGGATTTGGAATGAGAAGGCAGGCATGGATGAGGTTGCTCTAGGGTGTTCCCTTTTCTTCTTGCTGATAGTTTGGGAGAGGTTGAAATTATCATGGAGAGGGAAAGTACTAAGGCCCTTACATATAGACTTTATCTGTTTTTTATTATAATATTTTATATTAATGTCAGGTATGTCACAGGTGTGACATAATCCCAGGGATTAGGTAACCAGGTTCTTAGTGATCGAGGACAAAGAATTGAACCGAACACACAAAGTTTTTAGCATAAAGAAAGAGGGAAGATTTATTAAGTGATAGTACACTCCACTATCGATAGGACACGGGAGTGGGCCAACTCTGAGCAGAGAAGGGACACGTGTGCTGGGGGTATTCTCTTCTTATAGGTCAGAAGCTCCCTGGCTAGTCTTTGGCGGGCTTTTCCTGCGCAGGTACAAGGAGTTGGATTTGAAAGCTACTGTGCATGTGTGGTTTCCCATGATTTTCTTTCTTTTTTTTTTTTAAGATTTTATTTATTTATATTTACTTTTAGAGAGGGAAGGGAGGGAGATAGAGAGAGAGAGAGACATCAATGTGCGGTTGCTGGGGGTTATGGCCTGCAACCCAGGAATGTACCCTGGCTGGGAATCGAACCTGGGACACTCTCATGATTTTCTTGATTGGCTACTGGAGAAGGGAGTCCCACAACGTTATTTCATTATAATGATATTATAATGAATCAGGGGTAGGGGCAGGCACATTCCATGATTCAGAGTTATCCCAGAAAACAGGAACAACCCGTCTTAGGGGGCCTTTGTCATGTATAGATGTTTTCTACCTCAGCCCTGCGGGGCCTCTTGAGTTTCCTTCCTGACTATCTCCTGCCTCAGGTATATAGTATAGTGGTTGGACAGTCATATACTTTATAAACCAATCCCCTCAATATTTTAAGTAACCACCTAGGACCTTACCGTGGTTATTATATTATTAACTGTGTCCCTTATGCTGAGTTTTATATCCTTGTGACTATTTTGTGACTACCAATTTGTAATTCTTAATCTCTTTCACTTTACTCACCTAATCCCCCCTTTTCCTCTGGCAACTCACCCTCGGAGTAAGCTTCTATACAAATGGTAGAAATAATTATCCAATGTTTGTTTTAAAATTAGAACCTATTTCCTTCCAACTAGGAAATGTTATGGAACAAAATATATTTTTACCAATGAAATCTATTCTGATTCACCTGGTAGAATGTGTTAGATCTATGCAGGCCTAGGAGGAATAAAAATCACCAGGTGAGAAAATGGCACTGTGGGAAGCTGCCTGCAGACCCTATCCAGAAAGATTAGGGTCTAGGGTCGGCTTATTGGGCATAATAGGATGCAGCTTTCACCCAGCAACCAGCTCTAGCCAATCAGACCCTAATACCCTAAATGCAGGTTTTTGCGTTTAAAACCCCTGATCTAAGAACAACGGAGCAAGTCCCAACCTCCCTTGGTTGGCTCCACTTTTCCCCAGGAGTCCCAATCTCCCTTGGTTGGCTCCTCTTTCTCCCAGGAGTCCCAACCTCCCTTGGTTGGCTCCTCTTTCCTCTTAACCTCCCTCGGTTGGCTCCACTTTCCCTCTTATTCCCCTCTAATAAACCCTGCTCTCCTTAGCTCGCTATCCCTCCGATCTCTTGAACGACTCTGAGCTAACAGCACGAGACTTTCTTGAAACCAATGATGCCCAAATATCTTTTTCCAGAAGAGTGAAATGCACTTAGAACTAAATAAACCAGATACTGGACCAAATAGGAAGATAATGATTTTAAAGGAACCTCCCAAGAGGAAACTAATCTTGAGACTGACTAAACATTTCCTAACCAAACCATCTTTTCATTGTTAACTTCCATCAGAGCTGCAGGGACAGCTTAACAGGATACAGGCTCTGCTCAGAATGGCCCAAAACATCCGAGACATACAAGGATGTCTCTAACTCTCAGCATGCTACATATCTGTCTCTCTGTAGATGGGAAACCAGTCCACAGTGCCGTGAAATTCCCCTTTTGGAGTGCATACTTGCCAAGTGCAACATCTCCTGGTCTCAATATAAAGTAGACATTGGAGAGATCTGGACAGTCAATGACACCATTAATTTTAATACTATCTTACAGCTGGACCTGTT